TATCCTCCCAGACAACACGGCGCCGTCTCCAGGATCGCTCGGTCGAGCATCTGCAAAACGAAAACAAACACGATCTTGTCAGTTAGGTAGTTAGGATTGTCTTGGATCAGCACTGACAGTTAGGATTATTCTATTAGGATGCGTCGAACTATGACCTTTGTGTGCTGAGAAACGAAATTCTGCCATGGCCATGAAGTGGTGAGAATGTCTTCCCACATTCCATAGAGTGGTATAATAATCAATACAACTATTTTGTGAGAACATTAAATTATATAACATGTAAGACGGTGTGAATATTTTTCGCCAAGATTTGGTCTCAATTCTCACCTTTCAATTTTCAGCGCATACAAGTCACGATGACTAGGGCCTTGCCCTGCAGAGAAGCAATGGCGGCGTCTCCGGGCCGCAGACTGAGAATGCTGCTTCCTGTCGTCCGTCGATCGCTAGCCGGCGGCGGACGCGTTAGTTTCGCATAGTGGGTTGGACGGCCACCGTGCGATGGTCGTGTCCGCGTCGAGCGCTCGCCGGCCATCCGCCGCGTGTGATGGTTGTCGAGCGCTCGCCGGCCATCCGCCGCGTGTGATGGTCGTCGATGCGCTTATTTTCGCCGGCCATCCGCCCGTGTGATGGTCGTCGAGCGCTCGCCGGCCATCCGCCGCGTGTGATGGTCGTCGAGCGCTCGCCGGCCATCCGCCGCGTGTGATGGTCGTCGAGCGCTCGCCGGCCATCCGCCGCGTGTGATGGTCGTCGAGCGCTCGCCGGCCATCCGCCGCGTGTGATGGTCGTCGAGCGCTCGCCGGCCATCCGCCGCGTGTGATGGTCGTCGAGCGCTCGCCGGCCATCCGCCGAGTGAGACGGTCGTGTCCGCGGCGAGCGTTCGTCGACCATTCCCCGCGAGGGACGGCCGTCCGCCGCCGTCCATAACTGTGCTGGGCCGCCTCGGGTGACGTCACCAGAGAAGTTTTGCACTGCATCATCATAAACGCTGTTAGGCCACTGCAGGCCTTCACCCTCAAAACCGGAAACTATTTGCGGCCTTACAGAGAAAAGTAGCAGCTGTTGACCGCCGATTTTCGTCAAGCCTCTGCCGACCGATTTTTCTTTTAGAAACAGAAGTGAGCACTGGCATGCTTTTCTTACTTGCAGTGAGTCGCCTAGTGTTGCTCGCCACGGTGAAAATGCGTAAAGTGACATGCCTTGTCCAGCGGAGTGATCCCGTACGCACCGCATCATGGTTTTACAGTGTCGGTGGAGTCGTGTGCGCGAGTGCGCCTGTAGTGACACTAACCCCTGTAAGGATGCGACCAAGCCCGCAGCAAGCAAGAGTGCGGACCCCTTTACCGCCTGCAACGGAGGGGGATGCTGAAAAGGACAAGCGTCCGTCCGAAACAAAGGCAACTGCATCACCGATGGAAGGTCTGTTGGCATGCAGTGAGAAACCGGTCTCTGAGAGACCGCGACGCCGCACTGCGAGGGCTCGAATGAGCTACGGCACTGGCAGAACCAAAAACTGATGAAAAGACGAAGAAATTCACAAATTCACCCTGACGGGGCAGGAATCCGAGCGGGCAGCCCAGTGTTTGTGTGGTGTGTTTTTTGCGTGTGTTTGTTTATATGTGTGTCTTGCGGTGTATTGCATGAAGGAGGGTGTCTCCTGCCAACGCATCTGAGACAGTGTGCGTGAAGGGACGCAAAGAAAACGCTAGAAACATAACAAGATGCCGTGGAAATTCCTCGAAAAGTGTCATTCCGAACGAATGTCGGCAGCAGAACACGCCATTGGTTTTGCATCCATGAGAATGCCAAAAGAATTTCGAATGTCTCCAGTCTAGTCCGACACGGCCACCCTCCACTCCGATGACAAGCTTTCAGTCCGCAGCAATAGTGGCGGCGAAGCTAAACAGAATCCGTCGTGTGAATGGTGTCTTTACCTTCCTGAGTGTCAACGTGAGAGTTCAGTTTGTTTGAGTTTCGTACAACAAGAGTCGGGCGGCCGGTTGATCTGGTGATCAAGCAACGTGGCCAGACGGGAGCTCGTTCGCAGTAAAAGCACATAAGTGGGTGAAGATATAGTTATTTTTCGAAAAGAAGAAGTTCAAGGGGCTCTTTTTACTTTAAACAAACAAGCATTTCTCCAACGCCGTGCCCAGACTCAGACGACAACCTATACGGCAAGTGGGGAATCACAATATTTGGGTTTTCCTCACCGAAAATATAAGTACGGATGGTCCCACGTTTGTGGTTTCATTGGCAGCCGACGACTAGATCTGTTAGCCGCTTGTCCGACTATTTTTCTGACAAACCCTGGCGGCTCGAGAAAGAGATAGAGCGCGAGGGCGTGCTAGTGTTTCTTTTGTATTTTTCCAAGTCTGTCGCCACTGCGGGTCGAGCGGGCTGAAATCGACGCTAATTATTTATTGCAGTGGAGTTTAGGGTATCTCACGACTTGTGCCGGATGAAGGAAAAGTCAGAATACAGTTACGGCTGCTAAGTGGCACGTTGCTGGTTCCTGACTTTTTAATCACTTTTGTTCTTCACTCAGCGACGAGTGAAAGGGCCTATTATGGGAACCAGGGCAGCCGACTGAACGAATTGAAGGCGTGCGTCAACTTGTGGAGCGTTTGTCGTGCACGCCGATGGGAGTGCTGTCAGTTAGTCGAGCGTGGTTGAAAGAGACGTCCGGTAAGGCTGTTATATGTTGTGATGTGATCTGTGTTGAAATTATAAGATTTATGTTGGCAGTACTGAAGATCAAATTTTGTGTTGGTACCCTGTTCCCGCTATCTTCTTCTTCCTGTGAACCATGTGGAGTATCCCGGTACAAAACGTATAAAGTATGAGCATATGCGTACTTTATTTTGTTGAAAGAATTGCTTCGAAAATAATGAATTATTATCTTCGTCTATCAATGCGTGCTCAGAATAATAGTAGAAAGTGGACGCACACACTGTTTTTATTTTGTGTAATATTTTGAATAGTTTTTTAAGTGTTGAAGGTTTTCTTGACCCGTTTATGGGTAAATTATAAATACTTTATTTCATCTGAAACATTTAGCTCGTCCATGCCTCGTTCCCTTTGAGTGCCCCTGTGTACTGACATGGCAAGTTTTCAGTGTTTAATGGGTGGTGTGCTGGGATAGATTCAGTCTTTGGAGTCACGTTTCGTCCGTCACAGTCCCCAAAAAACGGCAAGGAGGGGTGTCACAATGTCAAACGTCACAACGCCACCGATCAGAAAGTGCCTTAGCCCGACCAACAGGTTCAGAGGTCAGAATAATGCCTGACATTGTAGCACCCAAAGCGATGCAAAATTTCAACTGCATAAGTAAAGTGGAAAAGTGGTATGCACAGAAAAACCGCACACTGCAAATCCGGACAGTCTCTTACTGTTTAGCATGAACCAAACCGTCTACCAATGTCTCACGATTGTAAGTCGACGCCTCCTATAGAATAATCCTAACTTTCAGTGCTGATCCAAGACAATCCTAATTGCTAAGAGGTTTCAGAGGAGGTAAAACTGCTCATTAGCTCTTTTCAGTCCAAAGCAGCGAATCATGATATCACTGAAATACAGCTTCCACGTTTGCATGCAAAGGTTTATACTCTTTAACAAGTCCATTGCCTAGAAATTTGAAGCAGCATGTTGGCGTCACAGAATTTTATAAGAAATAGCTTTCTACGTCGTACAATCTGCGCTGACAGTTAGGATTATCTTGGATCAGCACTGACAATTAGGATTATTCTATTAGGAGGCGTCGAAGTGAGACACAACTGTCCCACGGTTCTGCGAGACAACAATGGCTCACGTTTGTGTGAGACACAAATGTCTAACGCTCGTAAGCGAGAGACGCCAATCCTGTCCAGAATCAGGTGTTCGAAACAACGTCGTTTCAAGCACCTAATTCTGTCTGGGAATGTCTAAAGGTGCCCCCACAATGGCCGAAATATGACCGTCAGTCACACCTTTGAACTTGTTTTTTCAATCCAAGACTTTTCATGAATAAGGTACCATTTCAGGTTGATCACCATGTCAAACATCGGACGTGGGAAGCTACAGCAAGTGACTTACTGACCGACTGACGGTCGGATTCCGGTCATTGTGGAGGCACCTTAACGCGCGTAAGCGTGGGACTCCAGTGTCTCACGCACGTTCGTAAGTGCGAGACGGTCTGTCACACACTTTCGGCCTTGGCTGGCTCCGTGCGACCGGTCATGTGAGTGTCTCGCACTTCAACTGAGAGACGTGAGAAATTTTGGTTCAGAAGTGAGACTTTACCACTGGACTTGCCGTGCAACCACAAGAGTGTTTCGTCGTTTCTCTCCGGAATTTCCATTAATTTTTCTCTTGTTTTGCGGGTTACGCTAGTCGAAACAAAGCGGCTACCGTTTGGGCCCTGGCTGGATGTTATCGGCGTTCCTTGCCATGCTTCTACATTTTCACAGCTGTCTTTCGAGAGAAAAAAAAGCAGTAGACGGAATGATGCCACTAGCTACAGTTGAGCTACAGCTAGGAACTCGATAAAGCCAGATCTTTCCGCAGTATTTTATGATTTTGAAGAAAATAACAACTCTTTAAATAAAACACTGCAAAATCCAAGTGTGAGAGTGTCTCACTCTATTTAGTGCAATGTACTATGTCTCGCGCTTACAAGTGTGCGCTTACAAGTGTGCGCTTACAAGTTTGTCTTGCACTGGCAAGTGAGGGTTTCTGGCGTTTAACCACAGGTAACACATAGGCAGCAGGCGTGAGACAAAGGCTATCAAGTTAAGGAAAATCAACAGATCAACGGACCGGGACGGTTTGGGGATGGCTCAATAGGTCTAAAACCAAGAAATATGTTGAAGAAATTGAGTACTTAGGTCATCCTAAGACATTTGATTCAATAGTTTTTACTCTCCGACCCGCCTTGATCCGTTGATCTGTTTATGCGTTGATCTGTTGATTTTCCTTAACTTGATACAGCCAAACCGTGTCTCACACTTGCGTGAGACAAACCGTGTCTCACACTTGCGTGAGACAAACCGTGTCTCACACTTGCGTGAGACGAACCGTGTCTCACACTTTCGTGAGACAAACCGTGTCTCACACTTGCGTGAGACATTGTGGTCCGCCCGCACTAAATAGTGTAGGCCTGTTTCACCTTTGGATTTGCAGTGAGATCTTTCAGAAATGAATCATTTTTTGCAAAAAGATATGATTTTTGAAGAGTGGCAAACCTACTTGAGCGTGTCCACGTCCCTATCGTGACCAGAAACATACTTTCGAGTGCGGTGTTTGATAGTCGTAGTTGTGTATGGCCCTGGTGGGCCTACTCAACCGTGCTCCGTCTGCACGCTGGAAGCACGCTGGAAGCACGCTCGAAGCACGCTGGCGACCGTCCGACTCCGGACGTCCCCCCTGGTGAACTGCTGGGTACCACAAGTACCACAGCACTTGGGCCCGTCGCGTGCTTGCAGTGTGTGCAGCGTGGCCGCACCCTTCCACACACATGCTTCCGCTGCAGCAGGCTTGGCCTGGCCTCCCTCGCCCTCAGTTCCCCAGGAACTCAATAATGCAGCATGCGTGCACCGTGCCGCGAATAAGTGATGTTGGTGGCATGCGGTACGCCAGGGGTCGGGGCGGTGAAGCAGGCAAAGCAGTGGGCGCACGCCGGACTTGACGTGCCAACTGGCTTCCTGCATGTATGTCCAAGTCGAAGAGGTGAGGCACGTCGTGGTTGGGTCCTGGAACGAAGTTTCCAGGACGTTCCGGAACTACGTTCCAGGACCCCCTTGCAATCTGCGATCCCGCAATCGAAAGGACAAAGCCTTGGCGTCGAAGGTGTAGCTCATTTTTGGTGCTGCCTTCCATGGCTTCCGGTTCTGGCGAGGGTGAAACCACATTGGATGTTTGGGGACACAAGATTTTATAAGGCTAAAGATTTCTTAGGGTTCCTTTCTCAAATTTAAGCGATGAAGGTTGTATCTGCTTCCTACGCTAGAAGCATTATCCCTAAATTTGAGTAGAAAAACCTTTTCTTTTCAAATTTTGGCGAGAAAATAATTGACACCGAAATTTTATGGGGAAGGATTCCGCATGCAAAACTTTAGTCATGAATCTTCCATTGTCAGTGCTAGCATGACTGCGTCAGAGAAGGAGGCGCTTCCAGCATCGTTGAACAAGTGGCAACGACTTTTCACGGTCAGAGACGTCGGACACGAGCATAGAGACGACGAAAGAATTTATCGCATTCTGTACTTCTTCTACGCGCCTAAGGTAAGATAGATATTTATCAATAGCAATATTTTTATCGGCAGAAATTTGTTTAGCTAGGCAAAGCAAAAAAAATGCGGCCGCAAGCAGCCACTGTTCGAGAAACGCGACAAACGGCACCCAAAAAAAAATTACAAACCAGGTACTTTAGTCAAAAGCACGATTGTTTACCACTTTTCGATATCGTGACCATCTCACTGTGTCCTTCACTCAAAGAGAACTTTGGTTTATCTGGTGTAACTTAAATGGCTTCGCCTGCGTACAAGTCTCTCCGCTGTAAGCCACTGTAAACGGTGAGGCAGTGGGCAGTGACGATTGGGGGCTGAATTGAGGTTTTCATTGCACCTACCTGTGCGATGAGCGCAAGTCCAACAATCCTTCCTTGCCATACAACTGATCGATATCCTAAAAATTTGTAAACGAAAAAGGGATTATACTTAAGTACCGGAGCAAAAGATATGATACACATGGAGTTTGGATTTGTAGTAGAGCAGGATCGGCAGCCACGTATCCCGATCCATATATTGGGATCTAGAATTAAAAATGTGTGTTCTCTACCCAAGTACAAAAACGATACACGCTCTCTCTCTCTCTTTCTCTCTCTCTCTCTCTCTCTCTCTCTCTCTCTCTCTCTCTCTCTCTCTCTCTCTCTCTCTCTTTCTCTCTTCTCTCTCTCTCTCTCTCTCTCTCTCTCACTCTCTCTCACACATATCAAAACTATTAAACTGAAATTTGTCAAACATTGTCCAACGAAGTACTGGAAAGCACGGACCAAGCCTGGTCAACAATTTGCGTCCAAAATTTCCAGCTTTGGAATCTTTGTACTTGTTTTTCGTACTTCTAGGCTCTATTATTCCCTAAATATTTTATACCGCAAATGTCCCAGTGAAACTTTGTAGCATGCGGAGCGAAATTAAGATTTGTGTCAAAATTAGGTGCAAGTGACTGTCCGCAGTACTTATCGCTGGGCTTCGCCATGGCCGTCACCCTCAACGTCGTGGACGTCATCATGTTCGATGCAGACGAGGCTGCTCGCAGGCTGCCGCTTCGCAACGGCCTGGCCTGCTACTCAGCCCTGTTCGCACACGTCATCCTGACGTACCGCAAGGACATCCTCCTCGACGCCCTGTACCACGCCCGCCTGGCCGCCGTCATCCTGGCCAAGGACGCGACCCCAGAAGTCAAGGTGAAGGCGGGTGGGGCCGGCGCATATGCCCTCAGATATGTGGACTGCAATTCGAATCACCTGTCTGTCAATTGCCTAGTTATATTAAATTGTGCCCTTCTTTGAGTGCAGCTGGCGTTCGAAGCAGCCAAAAACAGGAAGGAACTTTTCGTGTGGAGGTTCTATCCCGTCTACTCCTTTCTAATGGCAACCACGGCTTCCCTCGCGACACTGAGCGCCCCCTCAGTTGTTAACCAAATTCTTGCAAAACAATCCTTGGTAAGTTTTGGGACGAGATTCTCTGCTTTCACCTGAGCTCATGTGCTATTAATCGCTTGAACAACGTAAAGACTCGGGGTTCTGCAGGTCTTTTAAATTTCAAAAACTGTCGTAAATTGTTAGACAAGGACTTGTGCTGCCAGCAAGGCTGTCAGTTTTGTTCGTCTCGATGAGATGAATTAACTTTCGGTAACCACTGTTTGATCTCGATCTTTTTTTCATTAATTGTTTTTCGTGGAAAAAATCTAAGGTGGTCCCTTTAGACACAAAAGCCCTGTACATCTTGAGGGCAAGAGGCTCTGTTCTTGCACCTTCTGTCGGCTGCAGCTGTTGGTGGGGGTGAAAAACATCTTTGACTGCTACATGCTCACAAGCTGTTGCGCGAGCGTGACCGTGCTGCTCACCGTCCTGGTGGACGTCCACTACACTTGTGCCGTGCTTTGCCGGGAGATTGGGCGGCGCCTCGAGACCCAAAGAGGAGTAAGTCAGCTGCCATATTCAGTATTCGAAATCTTCTCCGGTTGCTTTGAACAACAATTCCACTCGACCACGGCCACGACAAATGAAAATTGGCCAGCGGGTCGAAACCACTATCCAACAGAACAAAGTGGCAAACCCACTCAAAGCTAGGTGGCAAGCAGGTTTGCCTATCCTGGAATGGCTTTGCTGACTGGATCTATTTACCTGCGACTCCAGGCGTCTCGCGTTGAAAATACGCGTCAACAGACCAAGAACATGGCAGCATGCACTACGTGACTGACACGAACGACCCGACCAACTCCTTACGCTACGCACGGTTCTTTGTAGTAACGCATACCCAGCCACGCGAGAACTCGAGTTATACCATTCATAGCCCTGACTGTAGGACTATGATAGATCAGAAGCAATGGCTGACCAAGGTCGACCATTTTCGCCCTTTTTATAATATTTGTACGTTTTAGTTCAATGTCTTCAAATTATTATATGTACCAGGTTATGTATACTCGCCCAGTAGCAGCTACATATTCATTGGTTATTGAATCCGCCCGTGCCATTAACACTGCCACAGGACACCTCTTGCCGCATTACGTGATGGTGAGTAGTTGTACACTGTTCTTCAACGTCAATATTCACTGAGTGACTGGTATTTTGCCCGCAGGCAACATTTACAGTTCCCATATTGAGCACGGCTTCTATCGTCCAAAGCCCAGAAAAGGCCGACATTTTTGACTTTCTCTCGCTGCCACTGATGTTTTTGTTTTTCGGCCCGATCTGTGAAGCGAGCCAAAGTATGCAAAACGCAAGTGGAGCAGTGTCGTCCCGGGCATATTCCGTAAGTACGATGGTCCAGAACTTCTCATAAAATCTTACAAAGTACGGCATCCCAGGTATCCTCTCTAGATTTGGAAAAGACAATTCGTTCTAACTTCTGGTTTTGCCAGGGCCCTTGGCTGGACGAGCACGCACCCTCTCGACGCGTTCGGCTGCAAATCATGCTTCAATCTAGCGCGCGGCCCCTGTGCTTCAAAGTGGAAGGGCTCGGGTCTCTGAACCGGCCCTTGAGCCGCAAGTTGGCAACGTCCTGGTTCCAGTACCTGCAAGTGCTTCAAAACCTCCGCCACAACTGAGAAGCTCGGAATTGCATATGAGCTGAAAAGTAGGATGAGTGTAGATAACAATGGTAAAGTGCGTTTTTGGTCACATCTAACTGGCTGAAATAAACCAACTTCTTTCCCCTGTTTCCTTATTTTGGACGCTAGAAGTTTCTCACTAGCCGAGCTTTAAGATTCAACATGTTGCCACATGACACGAGAATGAGCGCGATTTGTACAATAGCTGATACGAAGAAATTGAATTGCATTGTAAAATCTACGAAGAAATGCTTTGTATTATGAAGCAAAATCCTTCGTAATAGGAACCATATCTTCATAATACGATGCAATTCTACAATGGCTTCATTTCCTTCGTAGTCATGAAGCAAATGCTTCGTAGGCTTTTAAGTGCGTTCACCGATGCACACCATTTATCCTACGCGCCGATTATATGTGGGCCAGCCACCGCCAGCCGTCAATGGCTATTGGTACGAGCCTTCAACGCAGCCTGTCCCGACAAAAACAATTTTTCTCTGGCTCCCGAAAAACCATTTTTTCTTCCTTCAGCAAAAAGAATTGAAGATTTTGCAGATGTTTCACTACAGAGCTGAAGTTCCTGCATGCTTTATTGCATGCGTAAACTGATAACACTTGGGGCCCACATGTTTTGCTGATGCTCTGCTCTTGTCATGTGTGCCTCCATTCCCTGAGAAAGCTCTAGCTGCGACAAAGACTACTTTCCAGGTTAAAGCTAAGCTTGCAGGGCACTGTGACACTGTCAGCGGCTTCGCCACCTTGGGCCTTTCTGGGACGATACCCACTTTCACGCTTATAGCTCGTCTGATGGTTATTACTTGCTACACTGTTTCGAGGACACGAGAAAGCAGCTTCTCTCACAGCCACGTGCTGACTGCTCTGCAAACTCAACAGTGTGCTCAGCACACTCTGTTCAGCGTGTACTCACAAGTACACTCCAAAAAGAGTGTACTCAGATGAATACACTCCAACAAGAGTGTGCTTAGATGAGTTCAATCTGAGGAGAGTTTGCTTAGATCCTGGAAATAAATGTAGTTGATCACACGCTCGGGGGAGTGTGCTCGTGAGCACACGCTAAAGAAAGTGTACTCGTCAGTACACGCTGAAGAAATTGTACTCGTCGGTACACGCTGAAGAGAGTGTACTGAGTACACGCTGAAGAGAGTGTACTGAGTACACGCTGAAGAGAGTGTACTGAGTACACTATTGAGTTTACAGAGTGACTCATTTCAAATGTTCGCAATAAGTTTAAGTAAGACGCTAATACACCATTAAGGTATTAGAGTAAGGCATTTAGGCACGGCTCAGGAATAGAAATGCTTCGACTGAGTCATAATCACTCGGAACGCCGTAACGACGAGTTGCAATCACTATGGAAGATCTTAGCAAATATCATAAACAATGTATAAATTTATGTGGAAAGTAAACTTTACGTTACACAAAGCATGCCATAAGGCGTTGCAAATAGGCCTCTAGGTCATTCCCCTTACACAGTCCCACTGCGATGTGCAAGGGTCACCGATGTCCAAGTTGACACTCCTTGAAATGTGATCGGTAAGAGGCGACGTTCAAAAGGCTGCTTGCCGCTTCACGCTCTTTGAGGACAATATGCAGATGCAAATGGCGGGCGCGCAGTGGCGCCTCGTATAAATGGCCCAGATGCTCCTGGTGCCGTCAGTGTCCAGCCCGCCGCCATGCAGTCCCGCCTCCTGTCCGTCCTGCTGGCGCTGCTGGTGCTGCTGGCGACGAGCTGGGCGCAGCGGCAGCCCAACATGGCTCCAGGCCGCAGCACTATCGTGCACTTGTTCGAGTGGAAGTGGACGGACGTAGCAGACGAGTGCGAAAGGTTCCTTGCGCCGAAGGGCTACGGAGCGGTCCAGGTGAGGGAAAGCTAGGGCAATGCTTTGGAAAGTTGAGAAGTTCTGTACAGGGGTTTATTTCGGTGTGCAATTAGTTGCAAATTACTGAGGATAACTCAAAAGAGAAAAGTCAGCTGCAGGGCGTGCAAATATTACTTTTTTGCAATTAACGTAATTTCTGTATCGTAACGGCTAGATATAAAAAAATTGTTGTTCGTTGGGGTGGACCTCTTCTAAAATTCAATTTAAAATGGGGTCTTTTTTATGCATAACTTTTCTATCTCTAGCCGTTTACATAAGAGAAAAATAACGTTAATTGAAAAAGTGTAATATTTGCACGCCTTGGTCGGCTGGAGGTAATCCTTTGCCTTCGTCTAGGTATCGCCGGTGACAGAGAACGTGGTGGTGTGGAAGGACGGCATGCGTCCGTGGTGGGAGCGCTACCAGCCCATCTCCTACCTCCTCCAGACGCGCTCCGGCACTGAGGAAGAGTTCCGTGCCATGGTGCAGCGCTGCAACAAAGCTGGAGTCAGGTTGGCGGCCCTTCATAGTTTAAAATTTAACTGCAGCACTCGGGAAATCAAAAATTATTTAAAAGCCGTTTGTGGCGCACAGGACTTACGTTGACGTAGTGCTGAACCACATGACCAACGAGCACGCCAAGCCAGTGGGCACTGCGGGGTCAACTGCGCAGACGACCCAAAAAGAGTTCCCAGCCGTGCCCTTCCACGCCAGCAACTTCCACCGCTCCTGCAAGCTCACAACGTACTACGACGCCAATACGGTATGACCTCTCAGTGCCCTTTCACAGAATCGTTTTTTTAAGTGATAGCGAAATGGCACCGTGGTTCATCAGGTGCGGAACTGCGAGGTGTCCGGCCTGAAAGACCTCGACCACTCTCAGGAAATAGTTCGAGACCGCCAGGTGGAACTTCTCAACAAACTTGTTGCAATGGGCGTAGCTGGATTCCGGTAAGTTACTGGCATTTCCATTCCAAAATGTCAAACACGTCGCAAGTTTGTACGATTCGATTCTTGTTTTCCATTTACATCCTTGTCCTACCAACCACAATGATCCCTTGGCAAATTTAACAATTGTGTGTCTACAGAGTGGATGCAGCCAAGCACATGTGGCCCCAGGACCTTAAGAAGATCTTTGAACGAGTTCACAACCTGAGTGAGGAGCATGGTTTCCCTGCCAACACTCGCCCTTTCCTTTACCAAGAAGTCATTGATATGGGTAAGGAGGCATATCCATACCCATATGCACATGCACTAAAAATTTGGCAAAGCGTAAAACTTACATAAATATGAATACTAAGCTTTCTGGCCACTTCTTTTTGAAACAATGTACGTTGTCAAAGGTTGCAATTAGCGAGTGAGCCATGTTAAAGTGATTTGTTGCGTCGCACACCTGGTCATTTAAAAAAAAAAACTGTTCAGTTACTTCTAACATTTAACACTCTTATCGCTAAAACAATATAAACAATTCTCTTCAGGCATTGGTGAGGCAGTGTCCTACAAGGAGTACCTCGGCATCGGCAGAGTGCTGGACTTCCGGTACAGCGCGGAGATCGGTCGCGTCTTTGGTGGCAAGGACAAACTCTGCTACCTTAGAAACTGGGGTAATTATGATTGGAGACCTCATCATTCCCCTGAAAAGGTCGTTTTAAAGAAAGGGGGATAGTTGTTACTGCAGATACTGCAATTATGACACCATTCCACATGCAAACAAAATCAGTTGTCTGAAGTTTTGTCCACATTTTGCGGTGGCACACAGTAAAAAACGATTTGCTGCTTTGGTGGTCGTTCTATATCCAATCTCACCGAAACGGGCACCCACCCATACAAACCCGGCGACGGTCGGTCACCAAAACGGTGGTGTTCCGCCAGAGATATTAGGTTGACCACAACAACTGTTTTTGAGCTGTCTGTGCATATTTGTGCGTGCCCGCCGGCAACGTTACGCTTTGATGAGTCACGCGAACGATTACTGACAGCCCCTGACTGGTTTGTCTCCTATTTCACATCAATACGATGATTAAAAGTCGCTGGCGGGAGGGTGACTGCAGAGTTTGAGTGTGTCGCTGTTCTTGTAATTTTCTCGTTTTGGCGCCCAGACGTCACCGAATCAGCGAATCTTTTTTTACTGTGCAGGAGAAGGGTGGAACTTTGCCAAAAGCAGCGACGCTGTGGTGTTCGTCGACAACCACGACAACCAGCGAGGCCACGGCGCCGGCGGCAGCAACATCCTCACGCACAAGAAGAAGAAGCGTTACACGGTACGCGCCCACCCTCTGCCGCAATGCAGCAAACTGTACTTGCTCGCTGACTTGCTCATGCTTGCTTCCAGATGGCCGTCTCCTTCATGCTGGCGCACCCTCACGCCGTGAAGAGGGTCATGTCTTCGTTCGCATTCGTCTCCAGAGACCAGGGTCCCCCTTCCTCGAGCAATGGCTCCATCGTGAGCCCCACGCTGCAACGGGACGGTTCCTGCAGCTCCGGCTGGATGTGCGAGCACCGCTGGACCCCAATCCACGGCATGGTTGGATTCGGCAATGTGGTGGCGAGTGAGTAATGATTTGGAAAGAGCAACAGCAAAGGAAGGTTTGTCATTACAAGGGGTCATGCCTTGGTCCGCAGCGGAGCCTCTGTCCAACTGGTGGGACAATGGGAACAACCAGATCGCCTTCTGCCGTGGCAGCAAGGGCTTCGCGGCATTCAACAACGAGGCAAAGGACTTGGACCAGACGCTGCAGGTAAATCAGGCGCGGCTTAAGGCAAGGGGTGAAGGGGTGATCGCCCCCCAGTGAGGTTCCCAAAACGCCTGATAGTAGGCAACCAGCAGCATCACACGCCCCTGTAGAGAGGCCAAATATACAAAATCGCCCTCTTTGTCGGGGATGTAAACCGCGCCTGAGGTAAATAGGGTACCCGGCTGGTCACAACTTAGACACCAGTGCGCTGGCGACATCACGAGCTACTATCGAATATTGAACTACTCGCACATCATTGATTTCGGTAAACGTGATTTTTGGCACTTTTGACCGCGTTGTTCCAGACGTGCCTTCCTCAGGGCACCTACTGCGATGTGGTCTCGGGTGGCGTGCAGGGCGGGCGCTGCGTCGGCAAGACTGTGACCGTAAGTGCGGACGGCACGGCACGCATCGTCATCGGTCGCGGCGGCGACGGCGTGCTCGCCATTGACGTCAACGTGAGTATCTCTTGCTCTGTATGGAGTGGGTAGTGAGTACCACCTTAAGGTGTCGCAGATGCCACCTCTTGAAAAGAGAGTGTAAAAAGTTTGGGACAATGCCTGTTTGACTCCTCTGGAAACTAGTGTACTCGGCACAAGCAGTGAGCACTAAAGTGCATGCCAGGCGCGGATTCAGAGGGGGGGGGGGGGCAATAAGGTTTTTGCCCCCCCCCCATAGCCCCTAGATAGCCGCCTGAAAGGTAGGCAGAAAGTGCCACTTTCCCCGAGTAAGTAGGCAAAAAGTGCTACTTTGCCCCCCCCCCCATAGGCCACCTCTGGATCCGCCACTGGTGCATGCTGGCTTAGTGCACTCTCAGTACGAAACCGTACTGAGTACACACGTAGGTGGTGCGTTAGTTTCAAGTTTCAAAATGTTTTGTAAGCCTTTTTCCCGGGTAGAAGGAAGTCTAGTTTTGACTCAATACCGACTACTATATTTTTGGGCAAAACAAAAAGTTTCCATTGAATGTGCCAGTTTACTTCTTTTATGAAATTCAGAATTGTCTGAAACTGTTGGATTGAAATCCTGCTGTGATTTTGATTTGTTGCAGACACGAATTTAGATCTACGAAGCGACCTTTACATCTTGGACACATCTGTCGGCCTTAAATAAATGTTCAGCCCAAAACAGTTGGAGTTATTTTCTTTGCCCGCCTTTGCCCACCTTTGCCCACCTTTGCCCACCTTTGCGCACCTTTGCCGCAGCTTGCGGAAAAACTGTGCATGCAGCAGTTGTATTGAGCAACCAATACTCTTTGGTTTATCAAATAAATACTGGTATTCAGGAAAAAAGCGGAGAATTTGGAGAATATTTTCCTTTTGTGTAGAGCGTGTCTTCGTTGGGTTTACAATGAAGCTGGATATGCACGGCTTATTTTGGACTGGTTTACTTTGGGCAAATGTGACACAATGGTCAACGGAGAGCGACATGCCACATCCGCTAGAGCGATGTCCCCTTCCTGGATTCCTAGAACACCCAATCTAAGAGAAGCGTAACCTTTATCTCACTGCAAATCCCACGGCAAAGTCAACCAGATTGCAGACTGTGACGCACCATACATTTTACGCGTGACAAAGAAGAAGTCAGACACACTAATTGGTGCAACTCTTAAGCTAGAGCCTTTATAAAATGTGTGCTGTCAGTGTTAATCATGGGCGAGCCTCCGACAGGACTTTGAACCATGTGGCGCGAGATCCCTGCGTCAACGCCATTTGGGCCACACTGACGTTAAAGACTAACAAAAAGTGAAATGCAACAAATTTTGTCTTACCTCGCTCACTTGAACTTCATTTATCCGCCGGCGAGGCGCACCCTACACAAGTACGTAGTATGCGCCCAACCTTTGCCCTTTCTGGTTAGTTTTTGGCACACATATGAAGAGGTAAATGAGGATCGTGGGACACACTGTTACAAACAAACTCTCTTGGTTGTGTTGTTCACATGAAAGGTAAACAGAAAACATTGAACTGTAAAGGATAGCAAACTTCGACGTACCAACGGACATCACATAAGTAAATATGAAGTTATTTGTACAAAGGATGCAGTAAAATGAAATAATTATCAAAAAGCAGATTTAATTTTTGTTAATGTACAGACGGAAAAGTGCAGAATAAAATCGACAATCGACACAACCTAAGTCTTTAAATTTTTAGTTGTCGACCTGACTGCTTTTCCGAGGCCCGGTTTCGTAAACTACACTGGTAGCCAACGAATGTGACGTCATATTCGTTCGGATGTGAATTTTGTCACGTTCGTTGTCACACTCGTTTGAATGTTGGTGAACGTTCGAACGAATGTGACACCCTAGATTGACGGCCGATTCACATTCAAACGAACGCGACAAAATTCACACTCCAACGAATATGACGTCACATTCGTTGGCTACCAGTGTAATCCAATTCGTGACGCGAGACGTGTTTCGAGGAAATAAAAAACTTCACTAACTTTATTAGCCGCATTTCCTGCTTGCCAGGGAGTTGGGTAGGCACAATGGTGTGGGTGCGCGATAAGGATAAAACCAATCACTCGCAGGTGTCAAGCGGAAAAGCCGCGCCCATTGCTCCGATGCCATCGCTGCTGCTATCACCGAGGGCGCCCGCAGAGATTCTCCCGCCAGCGAGGGTGGCAGCAGAATTTCTCCCGTAAGCAAGTACGTTTCGAGCACGAATCGCGAGATGCAGAGAAACCTCCCAAAATCGGACTCACTCAAACTGACAATATGTAAAGGAATGCTGCGGGCATGTTTCATGTGCCAGGCCGGACAATGTGGTTTCACTGGCCTTCCGTGGTGGCCGTCTCTGCGACGCTGTTTGCCATTTTCGGTGGCGCGTCTGGTGACATCAGCGACCAGCACCATGACCGTGTCGACGCTGCCGTCGGGAAGTTCATCGCGTCGGTGAGGCACCCCGACACCCTCGGCCCTCTTGTCCGGGCCGCCTCGGCCGCCTCTGCCTACGACAACGCTTGCTCGCGGAGCCTGGGACAATGGGCCAGCGGGTTGCGGTCCGCGCAAGGCTGGGCACTGCGAAGTACGTGAAGCCGCGTGAAGCAGAGAGCTCTGGAAATGCTTCGGAGATCTTGTGCACTTTTTCACATACTGCGTCCTTGCCACTCGGTGTCAGCTGACACGGAGTGCAAGAGCGACTGACACTGTACCTTGACATTGACGATCACACCGTGTGCCTTTGAAGTGGTGGACTCCAGCGCAAAACTGGTGACCGGCGTTCTCTATGGCAACGCAGCTGACCTTGGAAACTTCGACGAGTGCGTCCGTGCGTCAAGTCCGGACGGCTTCTCGGGACGCTACATCCTGCCTTATCTAGACGTGCAGGTAGGCCACTAAATCACTGACTCCTCATTCCGACTGATTGCACGCCGAATTCTTTTGTTCAATTTTTGCACGTGGTCTCACACAATGTTGTCATGTTCAAAATTGTGCGATGTCGCGTACAAAATTGTTCGAATACATTTTGTGTGTGCACGACCATACCGATGTTTTTTCTCCTTGCGTACGGCACCGTGCACCCATTTCATAAAAGCAACTTACAACGTTGTTTCAGACGGCGCCCAACATTTCTACTTTGGTGACAGGACGCATAGCTTTCTGCGTTCCCAGCACGTGTGATGAACAGCTATTGGAAGAAACTCTGAGCCAAGCCTTAAAATACATAAACGCAGGGCTTGCAGCCATTGGGTTTCGTGTGCAATGCCGACTGCCACGCCAAGCCTCCGCAGTGGCTGGCCTGTGGCGTACCCCCGCGGCAGGAGACTACGTTGTCATGTAAGGATATTTCCAGGTGATCCGCGGCTCTCACGCGTGACACAACATAAAGTCCCTCAGAGCCATTGATTAAAATTTGGCACCCAGCTATCTTGCACACAAAATGGCTTACAAAAACGCCTTTTGCTTGGGCAAATATTGCATTTTTGCTGGTTTTTCTACATACAAGTTCAACGTTTATTATTTTAATTTTGCAGCGTTATCTGCCTTATATTGGCGATGCTAGTGGCCATAGGAACAGCCATTGACTTGCGATTAAGTGAAAAAGGTAAGATGTGGGGAATGTTTCTTGTCCGTATTACCGATGTGGTCAAAATATTTCTGTTCGTGCACACATGTCTGATGGATTTCGGACCACTCTGAAATGCAGTTTTCGAAGTATTTTATTCTTCCAAGCCAAACGATGCCACTCACACTTCTTATCTAGCCTGCAACGAGCAGAACTTTACATAGTACTTTAATTGTTGGAATTTTATTTTCCAGAGAAACGTGTCATGGGGAAAGCCTCTCTGGTTCTGGCATTTTCAGCCTGGACAAATGGACGAAGGCTATTCGCCATTGCTCCTCCAAGCGATTCAAATTTTACCTGCATCAATGGAATTCGATTTATGTCAGCTGTCTGGGTTGTTTTGGGGCATCGGTACTTGGGACTAACGCGATTGCCCTGTATGAATCTTCTTGCCGTTCCTGAGGTGCAGTACCCCTTTTCGATCAGCTTACAGAATCGGTTTCTTTTTTAGTAAAACAATAAACTTACGTGTCTGTGGGCTGGATTTAATGTTGCAGCGGTTCGCTGACCTTTCTGGCACGATGTTGTACGCGGCCCCGCTGTCAGTCGATACTTTCTTTTGCATTGGAGGCCTGGTCAACTGTTACGTGTTTATGAAAGTAGCCCATGATTCCGGATCTTTCAACATCTTTATGTACTATTTCCACAGATACATAAGGTACGTATCGAAGCTCTTGCCGGACTTAGACATTGCTCTTAGAATGAATCTAATCCTGCTTCCACTCAGGCTCACCCCGGCCTTCGCTCTCATGGTGGCGATCACGGCCACGTGGATCAGCCTGCTGGGCGACGGCCCGCTGTGGGCTGATATAGTGGACGGAGCGAGTGAGACCTGTCGGCAGCACTGGTGGACTGCCCTGCTGTACGTAGCCAACTACGCCAACCCGGATGACCAATGCATGATGCAGGTAGACTACGAAGCACGTGGATATCACGTTTGGAATCCTTGAAAATGCATTTGTCATTACAAGGATTCTCAAAATTATTGGTTTAAGGTTTAAGGATGGACGTTCAACAAACGGCTCCGTCAAGCATGCGCCTCTTACTTTTACTTACAAGGGAACCTATTCAGGGGGTACACTCAGATTTCGACCAAACTTTTTTTTTTTCGTAAGAATAACATATAAGATTAAGAATGCACCTCAAAGTTGGTGCCAAGATATATATCTACACCCTTTACCAATTTTTTAAAACCTAAAAAAGGGGTAAAATAAGCCTTTTTGCATTGTATGGGTCATTTTCGGACATCGAACCGGAAAATTTGAAGTCGAGTTTTTTTTGTCATTTCCTTCAATGTTTGGTCCCCTTGTGACGAAAATGAGAGAAAATTTCGGTCTGTTTCATATATTATCATATTTTGCACAAATTTGGTGCAACTGCCCAATTACGACCGAAAATCTGCTCGTTGCACGTAAAATCATGGGCCATTTTACCCTTTTTTTCGGTTTAAAAAGGTCAGGAGGGGTGTGGATATGTATCTTGGCACCAACTTTGGGGTGCATTCTTAATCTTATATGTTATTCTTACGAAAAAAAAAATTTGGTCGAAATCTGAGTGTACCCCCTGAATAGGTTCCCTTGTTAGTGAGGATGATGAGCAACACAGGGGGCCCTTAGTCCGCAGAATGCAGCTCCGAGAAGCCACATCCCGCTGCGCGAGGTTTTTCCCGCGAAAGCCTGTCATTGGACAGAATACGGTCTGCACGAGTATCATTCTCGCAGAATGTGCAGCAAGTCGTGACGGCTGCACCTGTTCACGATCACCTGCTAGGCTGGCTACAAGCGCGGATTTACGGGGGGGGGGGGGGCAATTGCCCTTGACCCCTAGATAGCCGCCTGAAAGGTAGGCAAAAAGCACCACTTTGCCCCTGTAAGTAGGCAAAAAGTGCTACTTTGTCCTTCCCTTGGGCCGACTCTGGATCCGCCACTGGCTGGCTAAAATACTAGCGGCCCCAAAAGCCAATTTAATTCATGGATGAAGGCGCGCCTCAGTAATACTATATTTGTTTCGCCAACCCAATGTTGCCAGTCATGGAAGCAGGGTGTGACATTGATTGGTGGCATGACGCATCAAGACTGTACGCTTGAACCATGCCGGATTCTAGAGCCTACATCGCTTAAAGCCTTCATTTTTCATGTCTTCTTTTTTCTATTGATCTCCTCTTGGACAGTTATTTAGTGCCACGAGGAATCAGCTTTTCGGTCAGAGATGTGTTTTGTTGGGTGGGCGGGGGAAGATCCTGGGCGAGTATCTTCGCTTCTGGCTCTGGCTTTCTCTGCGATTGAGCTGGGTAAACAATGAGTGCATTTTGTAGCAGACGGCTATCTCACTCTCGTCCTCCTCCTGCCTGTGCTGGGCTGAGGCCGCCTCGGCCTTTTTGATGCATGTTCGAAACTCATGCTATCTTGATTCTGTAACAATTATCTCAGCCAGCATATGTCGCAGCGTACTTGAAATAATGATCCCCCAGAGGTATTTTGGTAGGTGTTCACTTGAGTCTGAAATGAATGACACAACATCGCAGTACGCTATTCTTGTAATGGCAAAAATCAGGTGGAAGTTGCTACCTTCTCCAAAATGGATTGCACTTTTGATTTAGAGAAGTACCAAAATAGTCAACCTTCCGGTCGTGTTTTTTCTTTACCTGACAGTGCCGCCTAACGTCCATCCTCTTTGTTCGCAGACTAGTGATCCTTTTTTCTTTGGTCTCTTTAACCCTTATTCCCTTTTCCAGTCGTGGTACCTGATGGCGGACATGCAGCTCCATTGGGTGTCCCCGCTACTGCTCTACCCGCTGTGGAGATGGCGCCGCTATGGCGTGGTGTGGCTCTGCGTGGTACTCGCGGCTTCGTGCGCCTGGCCGTTCGGCCTGACTTTTGCCAACAACCTTCCTTCACCATTACCGCTCAGCCTTAGGTAAGCTTTATCAAGATCCAAAAGGTTCCGATTCCTTAAGTATGCTCTAAAAATACCATAGGTTCAACTCACGTGCACTCACCGAGAATGGAGATAAAAGTCCTTGCTTTGAATATAGAATAAAAGCTCGAATAAAAACATGGTTCTTAATGCGATACTGTTTGTACTTTCGAGAATGACGAATTGCACTCAGAAGAAAATCATGAGAGCGCGCCTTCTGTTACAGTCTCGATGGCCAGGCGTGGTTCATGCAGCACATGTATTACTCGGCTTACTCGCGAGCCGCGTCGTACATATGTGGGACTCTGGCGGGCTTTGTCTTGTTCCTCATCAAGTCGGGCAGCATCAACCGAAAGCTGACCAAGGTTGGTTTCGGCTCTCTTGGTGTCAATGTTAGCTGTGTAAGCAGCGCCTTCGTCTTGCCAGCGTTCTTGTTTCATCGCGGTCATTCTTCGAATCCAGAATGAGGTCCGGCTGGGCTGGCTGCTGAGCACGGCGCTGTGCCTGGCCGTGGTCTTAGGACAGAAGCCGCTTGTAGACTTCACTCACTACCCCTACAATGTGTGGAGGTCGTCCCTGTTCGCGGGCCTCCACCGCCCCGCCTGGTGCCTTGGGATATCCTGGGTCGTACTGGCTTGCATCTTGGGCCATGGAGGTGAGTAGTCTACTTCTCTGTTGCTCACAGCTCATGACGTCATGACTTGACAACATGCTGCATTTTCAACAGGGCCCGTCAATAGCTTGCTGTCGTGGGCACCGTTCACCATTTTGGGCAGACTCACTTACGGCATTTACCTGACTCACGCGGCCGTGCAAGCAGTGGACCACGGTACTACCCGGACTTCTATGTACTACTCTGACTTCAAAATGGTGAGAGAGAAAAAGGTTTTAAAATGCCAGGTTTAAAGAAACAACATGTTTATCCTGACTGTATTAAAATTTTATATCTTAAGTCTTGTGCTTTCTGTACCAGGTTGAGAAGATGTTGAGCGACGTAGTTTTGTCGTCTATCCTAGGCGCATGTTTGTGTCTGGCTCTGGAGTCACCCATATCAAGCATAGAAAAATCGCTTCGAACTGTGCGTGGTCGTCAGCATTCCTCCAACGTTACATCAAAGGGTCAGTTGGGTGAATGGGAGAATGCGACAAAAAATCGTAGTATTTATTAGTTGTCTTGTCTTTATCGGTGAACGTAACTCCCTGCGTAAAATGCTGGCAGTCTAGTGCCCGATCTAGAAGCAGCCTTTTATGGGCAACATTTTTGCCTAGATACAGAGACAAAGTATGGACTCTTTGTCTCCAGCTATCTAGCTGCTATCGAAAGCGAGGGGCTAAAACACCTTTGCACATTTTTGAACTCCAACGACTTCTACTGTAAATTAAAATGCAAAAAGATACCGATGAAAACTGCCAATAATAACAATGTGTTTGTTGCAAAAGAACGCCTTTGCAGTGACCATGTAAGGAAGAAGAGGCACAAGAGGTACAATGCATATCGTGCAAAAATGCATTTTAGAAATTGATACTGTTTTTACAGTGCAGGACAGCAGGGACTTAGTTCGGCATCAAGGCCACAGGCGTCAGGGCTCCCCTTGCAAGACAGTAATGTTGATACTTTTCATTTTTTTTCAGAGCTCGGAAACCCCGATCAACAGAGTTGCGCGTAAAGGCTGATTGGTGGTGGAGCGCGGACCTCCATCGAAGCTTCGCGCAGCTTTTACAACACACCTGATCTCTTCCAAAGGCCGGGGGAATGGGCAGGAAAAAACTCTTCGCGCCTTAACGAGACACGTAATGGGTAGACATATTGAAAATTCTGAATTTTCCAAGAAAAGAAAAATAATGTTTCCAGAAGGTGGAAAAGTTTTTGAGTCTCCATAAACAATGATTCTGTTTTATCTCCGATATATTTAGTATATATTATCGACCTTAAGTGCAAGATATTTTTAATGTGCTCGTTCATATTGGACCACAACGTGGGCATTATGATTATGTAAATATTATGTTAAGTGAAAACGTAAGGTTACGCAGAAAAAGGATCTCCCATAGTATTTATTTTTTCATAATTTAAGAGTTTGGAGTGCGTAGAGACGCTCCCATTTAATTATGTACAATGCTCATGTTGTCTACAAAAATAAAATAATAATAATAATAATAATTAAAATAAAAATACAGTTTGATGTCTCTGGCGCCACCCAATACAAAGCCATTTACATCCAGTCAACGGTCACAAGGTGGGTTTTTCAAATTAGAGGCAAAGTTTCTTCTGTCACTGGTGAGTAACCACTGACATCTTTTGAAATTCAGAAGCAATATTGCACATTGTGCATAATCTATTCACTTCTACAAGCACAAACGAGACTTTGCCCAAGAATTAAATTTTCAACAATAGGTATTTTTGATGTTTTCTAACTTTTGAAGGATAAGCGGTGGACACCATTGATGACTCTAATTCTTACTCTAGTTTAACTTATTTTTACAATGAAAAAATGTTGTTGTCACGCCTACGGCCATTTTACGTTGGTATGGTCATTGAGTGGTTTTTCGCAGAAGTTGATGTTTCCTGGGAGGTGTCTTCTCTTCATGCCACTCATAGAAGCTCCCTCAGTCACAGTGACTGCACCTAAGGCTTCTAGTTCAACTCATCCTTTGAACCACGACAAAAAATAATTGGCCGTTTTCATGTACCATCGATGGATGATGATGCTAATGGTTACGGTGGTGGTGTAAACCGCTTCATTGGTGCATGCGACTTGTATGATCTGTAGCCATGTAGCTGTCCATCCTGGTCATCAGAGCCTTTCTTCTATGGGCGGTGTTGCACGGAGAAGCATGTGCCCACTGGTGGGTAGGCCCGTGAGGTGCACGCTAAGAATTTCTTCGATACTACGACGGGAGCGCGTCGAAGCTTCGACGGGAGCAATCGGGACATTTTTCGTCGTTCTTCAACGAGCGCGCGTCGAACACCGGGCTCGTAGGATTTGCGACCTGGGGACCCCCGATGGTGTCCCTGAGGTCCCTAGGACACGGAGAGTCCAACGCCGAAGTCGCCGACACTCTAGGACAAGCGGTTCGGGAGATACGAGGACGCACTATAAGGAGTCCGTCAAAGCAACTTTTTAGTTGGAGGCCAAAATCATCTTCGGCCTCTGGCTCCATTCCATTTGGGTGTCGGGGACTTTTGACTTCAGCATCGTGTTGAGGTAGTGCTAGACTACCAGGAACCCGTCAGCGGTCGTCGTCGGACCTCCGGTGCGCCCAGGATGCCGACGAACGAGGGTGCTGTGCCGCCATACGGTTCGACAAGGTTTACGCCACCACCCAGGTGGTCCCTGGTGGTGTCCTCGAGGTCTTCAGGACACGGGGAGTCTAACGCCGAGGTCGCCGACGCTCTAGGACAAGCGGTTCCGGAGATACGAGGACGTACCATAAGGAGTCCGTCAAAGCAACTTTTTAGTCGGAGGCCAAAACAGCTTCGGCCTCTGGCTGCGTTCCATTTGGGTGTCCGGGACTTTTGACTTCAGCATCGTGTTGAGGTAGTGATAGACTATCAGGAACCCGTCAGAGGTAGTCGTCGGACCACCGGTGACCCCAGGACGCCGACGAACGTGGGTGCTGTACCGCCTTACGCCACACGTCAGCGGCGTCGGTGCAAACGGCGTCAGCCCCGGCCCCCCAAGCTCACGGTGGCGTCGGAGAACACGGCGGCGGCAGCGGCAGGTGGTGGCAACGGTAATAAACCGTAAGGCGGCACAGCACCCACGTTCGTCGGCATCCTGGGCGCACCGGTGGTCCGACGACTACCCCTGACGGGTTCCGGGTAGTCTATCACTACCTCAACACGATGCTGATGTCAAAAGTCCCGGACACCCAAATGTAACGCAGCCAGAGGCCGAAGCTGTTTTGGCCTCCGACTAAAAAGTTGCTTTGACGGACTCCTTATGGTACGTCCTCGTATCTCCGCAACCGCTTGTCCTAGAGCGTCGGCGACCTCGGCGTTAGACTCCCCGTGTCCTGAAGACCTCGAGGACACCACCAGGGACCACCTGGGTGGTGGCGTAAACCTTGTCGAACCGTATGGCGGCACAGCACCCTCGTTCGTCGGCATCCTGGGCGCAACGGAGGTCCGACGACGACCGCTGACGGGTTCCTGGTAGTCTAGCACTACCTCAACACGATGCTGAAGTTAAAAGTCCCGGACACCCAAATGGAACGGAGCCAGAGGCCGAAGATGATTTTGGCCTCCAACTAAAAAGTTGCTTTGACGGACTCCTTATGGTACGTCCTCGTATCTCCCGAACCGCTTGTCCTAGAGCGACGGCGACTTCGGCGTTGGACTCCCCGTGTCCTAGGGACCTCAGGGACACCATCGGGGACCCCCAGGTTGCAAATCCTGGACACCTGGCCATGGACCTCGGCGTCAAGGCCGCGCTCGTTGAACTACGACGGCGGACGCTTCGACGGGAACCAGTCGTTCTTCCGTTGAAGCTCGATGATCGGGCTCCGCTGGGCACGGGTGTCGAATGTCTGTCGAGGTTCAACGAAAAGTTTGACGGGCCGTCGTCGTTGCTCAACGGGAGGCATAAGTTTCGCGTCGAACAGGCGGTCCCCGTCGAAGATACAACGGGAGGTGTCGAAAAAATCTTGAGCGTGTGGAAAGGTGAACTACAGCAGGTTGCAAAAGTACGCCGTGATTCCGAGGAAAATGAGAGCCCGAAAGAATGGTATGCCAAGTACACTCTCACTGGACTGTACTTGTGAGTACACGTCAATAGAGTACACTGAGCACACTGTCGAGTTGGCAGTGTAGTTGCGTTGCCGCGAAAGAGCAGGGACAACTGCATTTATATTTCTTTAAAAAATAATTACTGTATATCTGGTGGGATTTATATTTCGTGCGAATATGCGTTGAAGCAAATAAAATTAATTACTGTAATCTGGTGAGATTTTATTCGTGAGTTTTATGTGGTGGAATCTATTGGTGAGATTATATCTGGTGAGATGTGATCTGCTGATCCAGCTCTCGCGCAGCTTTTACAACACACCTGATCTCTTCCAAAGGCCGGGGGAACGGGCAGGAAAAAACTCTTCGCGCCTTAACGAGACACGTAATGGGTAGACATATTGAAAATTCTGAATTTTCCAAGAAAAGAAAAATAATGTTTCCAGAAGGTGGAAAAGTTTTTGAGTCTCCATAAACAATGATTCTGTTTTATATCCGATATATTTAGTATATATTATCGACCTTAAGTGCAAGATATTTTTAATGTGCTCGTTCATATTGGACCACAACGTGGGCATTATGATTATGTAAATATTATGTTAAGTGAAAACGTAAGGTTACGCAGAAAAAGGATCTCCCATAGTATTTATTTTTTCATAATTTAAGAGTTTGGAGTGCGTAGAGACGCTCCCATTTAATTATGTACAATGCTCATGTTGTCTACAAAAATAAAATAATAATAATAATAATTAAAATAAAAATACAGTTTGATGTCTCTGGCGCCACCCAATACAAAGCCATTTACATCCAGTCAACGGTCACAAGGTGGGTTTTTCAAATTAGAGGCAAAGTTTCTTCTGTCACTGGTGAGTAACCACTGACATCTTTTGAAATTCAGAAGCAATATTGCACATTGTGCATAATCTATTCACTTCTACAAGCACAAACGAGACTTTGCCCAAGAATTAAATTTTCAACAATAGGTATTTTTGATGTTTTCTAACTTTTGAAGGATAAGCGGTGGACACCATTGATGACTCTAATTCTTACTCTAGTTTAACTTATTTTTACAATGAAAAAATGTTGTTGTCACGCCTACGGCCATTTTACGTTGGTATGGTCATTGAGTGGTTTTTCGCAGAAGTTGATGTTTCCTGGGAGGTGTCTTCTCTTCATGCCACTCATAGAAGCTCCCTCAGTCACAGTGACTGCACCTAAGGCTTCTAGTTCAACTCATCCTTTGAACCACGACAAAAAATAATTGGCCGTTTTCATGTACCATCGATGGATGATGATGCTAATGGTTACGGTGGTGGTGTAAACCGCTTCATTGGTGCATGCGACTTGTATGATCTGTAGCCATGTAGCTGTCCATCCTGGTCATCAGAGCCTTTCTTCTATGGGCGGTGTTGCACGGAGAAGCATGTGCCCACTGGTGGGTAGGCCCGTGAGGTGGAAAGGTGAACTACAGCAGGTTGCAAAAATACGCCGTGATTCCGAGGAAAATGAGAGCCATGAAAGAATGGTATGCGATCATGAGCCACTCAATCCTGTGGGCAGGCACAAAGCGTTCAAAGATGATAAGTACAATGGAAAACAGTCAACTTAACTCGGCAAACAAAGGCCGTCAAAACCAAAAGAAGCGTTTCGGAAAGCCTTAGAGAACGGGTCACCTTTTCAGTCTGGCCGCGGTCTTCTCAACATCGTCATCCTCCTTGAGAGCGTAGCGGAGCACTCCACGAAGATGGAATTTCATGTTTTTCAATATCTCTTGTTCGTTATCCCTTGCGTTGTAAATGTTCAGGTAGTCGAGGTTCTTGAGGTCTGCTGGATGCGTCATTCCCTGCAATTTGCGTTGGTTTTCCATTTTGAACGAGAACTTTCTGCGAAACGGCGTTGTCGCGTTGAACCCCATCTGGGCCTTGCGGTAGAGGTTCAGTACCCTGCAACATATTGATGGGTGAGTTGGTAAAGCAAAGGCGTAAAAGTTTTGCCCTGACAGGGAAAGAGTTATTTACGCCCTTAAACGGCCTAAAGCGTTGCGCGCCCTTGAAAAAAACGTAAATCAGTATAGGACAGCTAGGCCCTTTAAATGCCCCTTGAATCCGAGTGCTTTGTGCAATATGGCGGTAAATGGAGGGACGCGCTGCGCTGTCTTACTGCATAGCAGTACGAGCGATATACTGTCCGAAAAGCGATGTGCCATCGGGTTCACTTTGGACGTGCACTAATAGTCTTAGCGTTCATGCCTATATCGCGTCCTCATCGCAGACGACAGAAATAAAATTATCTCACCTAGGCTTTTGTCCAAATGCAGGGGCGAGGAGGTCCAATACCAAACCAAAGAGAAGGTGGTGGTAGATGTGAAGCACCGCGTACAAGATAGGGCACGCTTCGTATCGGAGGCGAGGCGCACGGATAGCCCCCGGGTACGGTATTTCGTACTGAAGTCGGTGCTTCAAACCCGTGTGGAACTGCTCGTCGGTTCTGTAGGCGAAGTCGTTTCCCACTGTCACGTTGACCACGTCCACCTGCCGATCGCTAGAGTAATACAAAGGCCAATGTTAAACCGCAAAAATAAAAACTTTTGCAAAGGGAAGTTTTGAAAATGTCTACCCGTCCAAGGTGGGAAATTGCCATTTTGTCAGGGTTCATAAATTGTGCTCGCATCATTACTCATTTTTAATTTCCAGGAAATTGACTTTTGTTTTACTTTTCCTGACTATGTGCAGAATTACACATTTCTACAAAAAAAAGGCTTTAAATCCAAGACTGAAACAGTTCCAGCCTTAATTTTTAAGTATTGAAATGCGTACCTGAGTTTTATCCCCAGGCCTTTAGACCAAGACGCCAGCACTATCGCTTTGGCGGCCACATCCACAGGGACAGAGTCGAAGGTGTTCTCGTAGCCATACACGAAGCGCAGCAACCCCTTCATGTTCGCTACCAAGAAGCTGGTCTGCCCGTTCAAGTTGTCTATCCAGCCGGGCAGGGGGTCACTAAACGAGGTGGTCACTGCCAACAAAACAAACCGCAATTTCAGCGAAGACTCAACAACGAATAACGTTTAGTGCCGAAGTACTGTAAAACCAACTATAAATGTGGAGTTCTCTCGAGGGGTGAATCACTCGGCGTTCTGGTGTACACATGAGTACATGAGTACGGGTGAGTACACCTTGCTTTACTCATAAATTTCACAATTTTAAACGTTTTAAGGCTTTATTTAGCGTTTTTAACTACAGTCGGCGTTAAATCAGTCGAAAAACTAGAGAATTTCACCTTTTTAAAACTTGTGAGTACACTGAGAACGGGCAAATTTGTACACATGAGTACACTAGTGATTCACCCCTCGAGTTCTCTACACTTGGTTTCACAGTACTTTGGCACTTTATGAAGGTTCCGCCAGATTTTTATTCAGAAGTTCCTTTGTAGTTCTCCAAGATTATTTGTAGAGACAGGGACTCAAGTATATGTGTGAAATTGAAAACTGGCTGTGGGATGGCTCAAAGCCAAAATATCACCTCCCCAAAGGTATAATTTTCTTACCCTGTACTTTTCTTCCCCAACTTTACCCCTAACTTTCAATGGAGTTCGTCTGTGGGTTGCTGTTCCGCCCGTACAAGGCCCCTTCCTTACCTATGGACGGGCGCGTGATGATGACGGGCAGGCGCTCGGACGCCTCCTCCATGAGGCGTTCCGCCAAGCTTTTGGTCAGCGTGTACGTGTTGGGCTGCCAGCCGCGCAACCTTGTCACAAAATACAGTTTGTGATTTAACACAACCCTTGGGTGTTTTCGTGGCAAATTCGCTCCTTACTTGGCTTCGATTAAGTCGATGGCATCTTTGTCGCTGTCCGGTAGTTCAGCGAAGCGCAGAGCCTCTCTCCAGCTCATGTCAGTCGCGTACACGCGCTCGTCGATGGGGTCCTGGTTGATGAAGGTGTAGGCCGTCGAGACGTGCACTAGGGCCTGCAAACGGCGACAACAATTGAGGAGGCTCTATCTGGAAAGTCCCTCCGCATGACATGCCTACTCGTTCCTAAGCGCGTGCTTGACATGACAGTGTTTCTGGGCGTGTGTCTGGCACGTACAGTGTTCCTCGTGTGCCTGGCGTTCCTAAAGGAAGCATGTCTCTGTCAAGGGAGCATGTCTCTGTCAAGGAAGCATGTCTCTGTCAAGGAAGCATGTCTCTGTCAAGGAAGCATGTCTCTGTCAAGGAAGCATGCCTATGTCAAGGGAGCATGTCTCTGTCAAGGGAGCAGCCTTAGTCAAGGGAGCGTGTCTCTGTCAAGGAAGCATGTCTCTGTCAAGGGAGCATGTCTCTGTCAAGGAAGCATGCCTATGTCAAGGGAGCATGTCTCTGTCAAGGAAGCATGCCTATGTCAAGGGAGCATGTCTCTGTCAAGGAAGCATGCCTTAGTCAAGGGAGCATGTCTCTGTCAAGGGAGCATGTCTCTGCCAAGGAAGCATGTCTCTGTCAAGGAAGCATGCCTTAGTCAAGGGAGCGTGTCTCTGTCAAGTAAGCATGTCTCTGTCAAGGGAGATTGCCTTTGGCGAGGGAGGCGCACTCCAGCGGGTCTGCCGGTTCTGACCTTGAGCTTGGGCATGTCCCCGGCGAGCTGCACCACCTCCTTGGTGCTGCGCAGGTTGGTGGCCACGGCCTTGCGGAACGGGTCGTCGAAGCGCACCGAGGCCGCCACGTGGAAGACGACGGACACCTCGCTGCACAGGTGCACGCGGTCCGCGTCGCTCAGGCCCAGCCCCGGCGCCTCGATGTCGCCGGCCACGGTCTTCACCTTGGACAGCGCGTGCGGCTGCTCCGCCCGGAGTCGGTCAAACAGCTGTCGGCAAGACGACGCGTCATTCGACCAATGTGACGTCATATACTCGTGGGAAATGTGATTTATGTCACGTTCGTGTGGATAGGATGCCACATTCGTATGGGGATGCGACGGCACATTTGTTAGAACGTGCGACTCGGCTGTTTTACTTAGGGCCTCATATTTGTTTGAACGCAGATCAAAATGAGGCATCATATTCAAACGAACCTGATAAAATTCACGAGCCAACCAATATGACAGTGAAGTTTTATGGTGAGGATTATCCATGTTATGGTGAAGATTGTGGTGAAGAAACTGGCCCCGCTACTTTACTCTTAAATGACAAGGAAAATTCACCATATCCTTTTGACACATAATTAAACTTCCTTTGCAGAATGGAAAAATTTACCATAATGAAGCAGCCTGTAAGACACTAACATACCGGCACTCCCAGAAGCACGGCCAGCCTGTCGGCCGGGTCCACGCCCTTCTTGGGCCGCAGCAGGATGTAGATGTGGCCGATGTCGGGGCAGCTCCGCAGCAGCAGCTCGATCAGGACTCGCCCCATGAAGCCCGACCCGCCCGTCATGAACACGCTGCGGCCGGCGTACCTGCAACACGCGTCGCACACCGCGACGTCATGGACCGTCATGGACGCACTGGGGATGCAGTGGGCCAGAAGACCGGTTGAGGCGGTCAAAATCCCGGATGCGTTTTGAGCACCAGAGTCGCTAAATGAGACTCGAACCGAACGTGTAACCCCATCAATGGACTGCTCTCCGAAGGAGGAATCCATTGGTGCGGTCACACGTTCGGTTCGAGTCCCGTTTCGCGACTCTGCAGCTCAAAACGCGTCTGGAGTTTCGGCCACCTCCGCCGGATTTCTGGCAAATCCACTGTGACTGCACTCACCACTCCGCCACGCTGGGTCGCGACGCCCGCTCCTCCCAGTGCAGGTCGCGCCGAGCCACGATGTCATCGCGCACAGCATGGAGCCGCTCTCTCTTGATGGCGTTCAGCTGGAACCAAAGCGCCAGTCTCAAGCAGTGCCACACAGTGCCACACAGTGCCACACAGTGCCACACCCTACAGTCCCAGCCGCGCCAATCTACCTGTTCCATTCCGCCCTCGCGCCCGAGTCCACACTGATCGTTGGTCTAGTTCGGCCGCGCGACTGTCAGAGGTGGACTCTCAAAATGCATGATGGCATGCCCTGCTGCAAAAGCGGTGCACAACTGAGTGGCTTTGTCTCTCTCGCCCCGCACGGAACGGCCGACGGTGCGAGGGAGAAGGCGTTGGGCACGTGCTCGTTTCTGCCAGCTAACCCCTTGGCGATTATGCAGGCCATGCAGGCCCGAGTAGCGCGGGTGGCATCGGTTACGCAAACGAGGCGACGCTCGAGCTGCCAGGCGCTGGGCCGCCACGCCGGGGGACCTATCATGTTCTAGAGTCAGATTCCGATCGATTCCCAGGACTATCGGACCAGAGATTCGCACTCTGCGATGGACACAAAATCCAGATTTAGTGTCGGTACCGAGGGATGCTTCAGAACTGAACTGCAGAGCGCCAACGGGTTCGATGGGTGAGGGACAGTGTGTGTGTGCAGGAAAGTTGCAACCTGGTAAGCCGTTCGCTGCCCCAGTGCCACACCCACGCGCTCCCTGCCGTGAAACCTCCTCACGTCGCCTAGGCTAGGTGCTAGGAGCACGGCCCGCACCCCCAGGCAGATCGTGAGAAGCCCCGTCTCTTCCTCGTTCCTCGTACTCATAGGACGTCTCATGAGAGAGAGAGAGAGAGAGAGAGAGAGAGAGAGAGAGAGAGAGAGAACCGACGGCCGCGCGGCGTGCGTGGTATCACCATCACCCTCACAAAAAAAAGGTGAATGTCATAATAAGTTAAACTAACACTAGGGGTACGCGCCGTTTTGTGTGGGCGCGTAGTGTGGCTGAGCGATGCGAATTTGTGCACTTCGGACTGCAGCTTGTGGGCTCATATTGAGTGAAATGTAGGTCTGGGGTATAAATGGGAGTGATTTTTGTTATCAGCACACAAAAAACTGTTGGGATCAACGTCAAACTCGATTCCAAAATATTGGTCCAAAATTGGTCCAAATTCGGTAATGCGTGAGTCTGGGAAAAATTTGGAAGTCATTTTTGAGTTCAGCGCACCAAAAACTACAGGAAACAATAAAAAACTTTATTTGAAAATTTTGGTCCAAAATGACCTAATTTGGGATGAAAATATAAGTCTGGAGTCGAAATGGAGGTGATTTTCGTTATCAGCACACAAAAAACTGTTGGGATCAACATCAAACTCAATTCAAAAATTTTGGTCCAAATTTGGTCAAAATTAGGTAAAGCGTGAGTCTGGGAAAAATTTGGAAGTTATTTTTGAGTTCAGCTCATCAAACACTGCAGGAAACAATATAAAACTCGACCTGAAAATTTTGGTCCGAAATGACCTAATTTGAGATGAAAATATAAGTCTGGAGTAGAAATGGAAGGGGGTTTTTATAATCAGCACTCGAAAAACTCCAAGAATCAATATGAGATTCGATTGAAAAATATCGATATCAAATTGATCAATAATCGGTAAAGAATGGGTCTTGGTTGGTCTTCATGGATCACCCTTTGTCGTCACCAATACCCTAATGCCACACCAATGCGATTCCTTCAGTCGAGTAACATTCCATTGCCAGCATTGAATCGCTTAATTAGCTACTCGTCTGCTTGACTCACTATTCGATACATCTTTTTCTTCAAACTAATGAATTCACAAATTTTTTAGTTATATTTGAGAAGCCTTTTGTCATTCTTTCATTTAAAACCAGTGAAATAAACAATACAGAATGGAATATGTAATCATAGTTTTCATTAAGTGACTCAGTTTAGGGCAGGCTGATCTGAAGCATTTGACGGAGAACAAGTTGTGTCAAATTCAGTGAATCGTCTCATGAAGTCAAATGCAGAGGCCACTTGTTGCTCAATACGCCAACTTAATTTACCTTATTCATGCCTCGTGATATTTTATCTTTAGAGTAAAAGAATACAGTGTAGCATTAACATTGGGCTTACATTAAGAAAGCCAGCTTTTAAATCATTACCAATACTTGGTTCCAGCTGTTGGACACAAGCTTTGGTGAAGTTAAAGGAATCGTCCCATTAAAAGCAATTACCAAGTCACCCACCGCTCAAAACCTGAATCGTCTCATTGAACCCAATATCAGTTCAAAATCTGTTAGCACTAAATATATGGATTATTTATTGCACAAAATACATCTATTTATGGATTCTTTTAATCAATAGATGTAAGTACTAGAATATTTATGTTAGCTTGCAGCATTGCAATAGAGTGTCATTTCCCCGAGACAAACCAAGACAATTAACATGTCTTCTAATTTCAACAGAAGTTATTCATGCATTTACCTGATTTTATTTACTATGAAATTTAAAAATTAGGATAGTATCAGAGAGAATAAAATCAGTAGATGCACACAAAGGCAAAGAAAACATTCTATTTACAATCCACAACTACACTGCACTGACCTGTTCTCCTGTGACGGGGGAGGGGGAAGAGGGGAACGAAACACGTAAACCATTCTCACATTTAGTTTCTATATTTTCCTCTGTTGACACCCCGGAAGGGTTTCAATCATTCTAGAATGTTAAAAAACTATCTCAGTACCTATTTGAGAACCCCTTTGCTCTTTAGTTTGTTTATTTGCATAAGTGCCGTCCCGTCTTGCAGACGGCTTGCAAGCGCGGCAGCCGGTATGAGAAATTGGTCTGCCACACGCTGCTACCAACCTAAACACGCCAATTACCTAGTTCAAAATGATGTTTTGAATATTTCAAACGATGATAATTGTTAATCTAAGATAAACTCCCCCTGTAGGATGTTTAGGAGACATCAGGTGTGAAATTTGGATACTATTCGTTCAGTAGTTGCTGAGAAACGTGAGTGATTACATACAGACAGACAGACAGACAGACAGACGCACGACCAGTCACTTTTCGGAGCGCCCAAACACGGCAAGGGCTTCGCTATCGCTCAGCCAATTACTATGTAATTAAAACGTTGGTTAGGAATTTTCCCTATCATCAAATAAAGATTATTTGGAACCGCTGGGATCCAATCATCTTTCTTCCAATCTGCTGTGTCCTCTTGCCACGTCTAGCGACCAGTGCTCGGTCAAGCCACGCAGTGCAGCAGGCATCCGACTAATCCTCCCGCCCGTCTCTCTCTCTCTCTCTCTCTCTCTCTCTCTCTCTCTCTCTCTCTCTCTCTCTCTCTCCCCCCCCCTCTCCCGTGTGTGACGACCTTTTTCTAGGTCCGCTTCATAAGTACCCTTTGAACCCTTGAACAACGTCGTAAGTCCTGACGCCGAGAGTCCTGAAAGGAGGCTGATGTGAGTGAGACAGCATAAACGGGTTCATAGTCCAGGCAAACGAAATGCTGATGGGCATTCATTGACTGGGCGACTTTTTTCCGTCTCCACCGAGTTTGTACGACCTGACTAATTCCGAGTGGGAGGTCTCTCTCTCTCTTGAAATCATTGGGCACGTAAGGGTGCGAGAGAGATGGACGAAAGCACTGTTTGGAATGTGCCCGGCCGTCGGTGGCCGTCTCCAATTCACGATGCACTTGATTAGCAACCTGCCAAGCGCTGCCAAGCGCTGCCAAGCGGCCCTTCGGTGGCATCTAGTCACCACACTGCCTTGCTGACACGTGCCAGCAAAAAGAAAATCAGATACTATTACTGTAGTTGTTTTCGTGTACGAAAATGGGAATTTCTCGACTAAAATCGTTTCAAAATCATGGCAATATAATGGCGGGAATTTTGGACGAGGGAGGCTTTTGTTCAATTAAGCCTGGATGGCCAGTAAAACCCTCATCGATCATCGCTAAGTTTACGGTTTCTCATTTCAGCGGATAAAATCGAAAAATCATTTTATTTTTCAATGGGTTTTTTACTTGCCCTCTTTTGTAGACAAAAACCAGCAGTAAAATTTTTTCCGTTTTTTACAGTTTGGCCCTGCGTGGTCTTGTTTCGTCGAAGTGGTCACGACGGGATCGATTCGTGACAACAAAATGATAGAAAAGCAGACCCGACAGGGCCTGTGCTTCACAACTACCAGTCATGGCGGGAAGTGTAGGTACCAGGCAAACTTCCACAGGGCGCAGAAAAATTTTCAGTTCATGTAACGGAGGTGGCTAAGCGTGGGACTGGATTTTTTCACTCCGTTTCACTCTGAGCAAGATAATGTCGCGAAAACCACAAATATCTCGGTGGAATGGAGATCGACTGAGCGATTCCCGGAGAGGGATGGATTTCCATTTTTTGCCGGAACAAGCTTGTGACGTTGTCGACAGATGTGGTTGGCACCGCTCACCTCGGCGGCGGCGTGGCAGTCCTCGACGCACTGCACGGCGGCCTCCCTCTTCGCCACCCTCGTCCTCTCCCTCGCCAACAAGACCCTCAAGACGGCACAAGAAAAGGCCAGGAAGACGCCCAACATCGCCAAGGTGAGACAGACCGAGGGTCATGCCGAGGGTCAGGCCGAGGGTCAGCCCACAGGCCCCTTCCAAACTGGAGGCACTTACCAAGCACTTTGTTTTCCGTAGCGCCTGTGAGGTAGGCCCCCTGTCCGTCCCGCCACACACGGCTGTGGAGACGGTGGCCTACCTTGCCCCTTGCAGTGTAGCGCCTGTGAGGTAGGCCCCCGTCCGTCCCGCCACACACGGCTGTGGAGACGGTGGCCTACCTTGCCCCTTGCAGTGTAGCGCCTGTGAGGTAGGCCCCCGTCCGTCCCGCCACACACGGCTGTGGAGACGGTGGCCTACCTTGCCCCTTGCAGTGTAGCGCCTGTGAGGTAGGCCCCCGTCCGTCCCGCCACACACGGCTGTGGAGACGGTGGCCTACCTTGCCCCTTGCAGTGTAGCGCCTGTGAGGTAGGCCCCCGTCCGTCCCGCCACACAGGCTGTGGAGACGGTGGCCTACCTTGCCCCTTGCAGTGTAGCGCCTGTGAGGTAGGCCCCCGTCCGTCCCGCCACACACGGCTGTGGAGACGGTGGCCTACCTTGCCCCTTGCAGTGTAGCGCCTGTGAGGTAGGCCCCCGTCCGTCCCGCCACACACGGCTGTGGAGACGGTGGCCTACCTTGCCCCTTGCAGTGTAGCGCCTGTGAGGTAGGCCCCCGTCCGTCCCGCCACACACGGCTGTGGAGACGGTGGCCTACCTTGCCCCTTGCAGTGTAGCGCCTGTGAGGTAGGCCCCCGTCCGTCCCGCCACACACGGCTGTGGAGACGGTGGCCTACCTTGCCCCTTGCAGTGTAGCGCCTGTGAGGTAGGCCCCCGTCCGTCCCGCCACACACGGCTGTGGAGACGGTGGCCTACCTTGCCCCTGCCGCACGACCAAAAACGGTTCCAGGTTTTCCCAGGAACTCAGTGTAAATCACCAATATCTTTATTTTAGGCTACCCTGGTAAAACTAGGAATCTTTTTTTTGCCGTGTGTCCCTCGGCTTTGCGAAGCTTCTCGGCTTTACGCACCATACGGGGCAGGGTAGGCCACCGTCTCCACGCCAGTGTGTTGTAGGACGGACCGGCGGTCTACCTCACAGGCGCTCGAGGTCTGTGACAAGCGGTGCGCAGACGGGAGCCTGCCAAAACCTGTGGCAAATCAGCTCATTGTGTGCGGCCGGATGGTCGCGGGTGGCACCCTGAGACCACCCTGCACCGCCCTGCACCCTGGTGCTGGTAGGACTCCTGCCCCTTTTTTCAAGCGTCGGCTTCGAGATTTCACATTTCACCCCTCTCCCGCCTATTTCAACGCATTAGAGAATTTCTTCTCCGCGCTTCACTTTAAGCGTGAAGTCTTCAAGCCCAGTTGTATTCTTGAATGAAGCTCAAGGCTGCGCTTCATTTTACCAGTGTACCGCTCCTAGCCGCCAGCCTTGAGCATTGCAGTCATGAAACTGTCCTGCCCCCCAACAGGGCGAGTACGACTTCATCGTGGTGGGTGCCGGCAGCGCGGGATGCGTCGTCGCGAACCGCCTGAGTGAGGAGAAGGGCTGGAAGGTGCTGCTACTGGAGGCGGGCGCGGAGGAGACCGACATCAACATGGTGCCGTCCATGTACAACCGGTGCGTACAGGGACCCGCAGGGAACTCCATCCACTCCCAAGTGCGGAGACTCAAAATTCCACGCCACCGCAAGTGTGGAGCTCCCTACACTTGGTTCCAAATACCCAGAAAAATATGGTTTATCAATTTTAAATTTCCTTGGTATTTTGTAAGAAAAATCTCGACTCAAGAACATTTTTCTTCATACCAAAAAAGTTTGATTTGCAAATTTTTTTCTTAAAAAATAAACAGGAATTTTTTTTGTCCAAGAAGTCTTTTTTTGTTGAAGTATAGCGCTGCAGCAGCAAGACTCATGCCACTGCCTTCCTCCGCTCTGCAGGTACATGGAGGACGACTTCTTCTACTGGCGGTACAACCTCCAGAAGAGTGGCTGGAACCCCGGTTCCGTCGCGAGTCGCGGCAAAGGCATGGGCGGCTCCAGCGCCGTGAACGCGCTGCACTTCACCCGAGGCAACAGGGAGGACTTCGACAACATCAAGGCGATGGGGAACCCGGGCTGGGGCTACGAGGACGTGCTCAAGTACTTCAAGAAGTCCGAGAACAACCACAACTTCCCCAAGGACACCAAATACCACGGCACGGGCGGCCCCCAGGACGTGACCCTGGACACGTACCGCGAGCCCAACACCGAGCTGCTGCTCAAGGCCTACCAGGAGATCGGCATGGCCAGGGTGGAGGACGTCAACGGCGCCAGCCAGCTCGGCACGTCCACCGTCGGCGCCGTGTCCTGGGTGCGTGCTCTCTGTGTACTCTGTGTGCTCCGTGTACTCTGTGCACTCCCTACTCAGGTGTATTCCGTTTTCTGTGTCATTCCGTGTACTCTGTGCACTCTGTGCACTCTGCGTACTCTTTGCACTCTGAGTACTCCGTGCACTCTGCACAGTGCTAGGGAGGAGGTTGCTGAGGGTTGATTTGCAGGCGCCCTCGGCCATGCTCAACGGGGAGCGCCGCAGCTCCAACCGCGCCTACCTGGGCCCGGCGGTGCGCAAGCGGCCCAACCTGACGGTGCAGACGCGCGCCTTCGTGCGCCGCGTCGTCGTGTCCGGCGGCCGCGCCGTGGGCGTCGAGTTCGACGGGCCGGCCGGCAGGAAGACGGTCACCGCCAAGAAGGAGGTCATCCTGTCCTGCGGCGCCTACAACTCGCCCCAGGTCAGTGCTGCTCGTTCGTCGGCTTGGCGCGCGCGGCTCTGGCGGTGCAAGCAAGCAGAGCACGCGACCAGCACGCGACTAAAGCGTGTGGACACTATTTGCCACCAACTGGGAGCCATTTTGTGCATCGCTGGTGATGACATTGAAGCCACCCGGGTTCAAATATGTAAGGCTGGTTACAATATTATCCCCTCGCCTGGTGATATGGTGTCCAGTCGGCAGCAGAGATTGCGTGGCTGAGGCTGCAAGCTTACCTCTGTGCTGTTGCAGGTGTTGATGCTGTCCGGCATCGGCCCCAAGAAGCACCTCCAGGAGGTGGGCATCAAGACCGTGTTGGACCTGCCCGGCGTGGGCCAGCGCCTGCACGACCACATATTCGCCAAGGGCAATGTCAAGTTCATGCTCAGCAAGACTGCCTCCACCGGCACCGTGCAGCAATACATCAAGACCATCACGGAGTACGTGCAGAAAAGGACCGGGCCGCTCAGCGGCTCCGCCAACCCGGTGAGTCCCTGCGCCCCGAGCTGCGTCCTCCCCAACCGCGTGCGTCCCCTGGACTTCCCCACTGAGAAAGCTAGAGTGAGCTTGGCTTTCTGCGCAGGCGAACCTCTTCTACCGGTCGGCCTACCAGGCCAAGGGCTCCAAGCGTCCGGACATTCAGATCCCCGTCGGAGGCAGCCAGTACATCCGCAAGCTGGGTGCCGGGTGCCAGGCCGCCGACGCGGCAGGCGTCTTCTACAACCAGCTCGGCTTCAACGCCATCAACCTGCACCCCAAGAGCCGTGGGCAGGTAGGGACGCCGAGGCGGCGAAGGCCAATACGTCACAAGTGAATTCCTGATTTTGAGAGCAACTTTTCCCGGACAGATTCTGCTCAACAAGACTGACCTCTACGGCTCACCGCTCGTCTACACCAACGTCTTCGGGGACGAGTCGGACCTGAAGCCCATCATCGAGGCCTACAAGATGGTGGTCAGGCTCAACTCCACCGGCACCTTCCGCAACAACGGCATCACCCTCAGCATCGGCAGCCCCAAGGCGTGCGCCAAGCTGCGCTTCAACAGCGACGCCTACTGGAAGTGCACGTTCCAGGGCCAGGGCGCGGCCAACCAGCACCCCACCTCCTCCTGCAGCATGGGCCCGGACAGCGACAAGCTGGCCGTGGTGGACGCCAAGCTCAAGGTGGGTACGCAGAGCGACGCAGAGCGACGCAGAGCGGGCGGGCCTAAGTGGGTTACCACTTTTTGCCTACGTGCACTACAAACCCAACTGTCCTACTGAGTTTGCACTTACAAATGCCTGGCAAGTGCACACCTACAGATGCGCCTGTACTTAGCATGCGCTAAGCATGCGTTTGTAAATGTGTGCTTGCCACACTCTCAGACAGACTATTGACTTTTAGTACATGGTATTGACATTTTGTCGATAGTACCTCTGTTTTTTGTGCAACAGTAATATGTACTTTTGACTTTTGTTCGTATTATCTGCATTTTTGTTAGCACTTATTGACAAAAAATAATTCCTACATAATTTTATGCAGTAAATTGTTCGTATCTAAAAAGAAAATACTAAGTATTATTGTTGTAGGCTATAGTACCTGGTTACCGACGATAAAATCGATAAGCGGCTGAGAGTGTAAGTATGCATTTGTAAGTGTACCGTATATTGTGTACTTGCAAGCACCCATTTGAAACTGTTCACTTAGTAGACAGTTAGGTTTGTAGTACAGGGGCAAAGAGTGGCCTTTTGGCTCCCTGTCGGGCGGAAAAGGGGGGGGGAGAGGGGCGATCGTCCTCTTGTCCCCTCCCCCCTTCCCTTTCCCAGATCAATGCCTGACGACGTTGGATTGCACCTGTCGATCCTTCTCTCTCGCTCCCTCGGGGGCGAGGCGCTCCGTGAGTGCGACGGAGACAGAGAGTAAGGGGGCGGTGCGGTGTCACTGACGCTCGGCGCGCTGTGCAACAGGTGCGGGGCATCAAGGGACTGCGCGTGATCGACGCGTCCGTGCTGCCCGAGACCACGAGCGGCAACACCAACGCCGTGTGCGTCATGGTCGGCGAGAAGGGCGCGGACCTCGTCAAGGCGGACTGGAAGAAGTGATTCCCTCGAGCTGGGACGAGTTACGGATGCCTGCCGGCATCGGCTTTTATGTTAAACCGGTTCTATTGTGAAAACACACGGCTTGTCAATAAAACAGTTTTCCCCTAAATCACACGGCTAACATAAAACCGTTTCCTCGGAAAACACATGGCTTGCACGTAACACCGTTTCCCTTGAAAACGCGTGGCTTGTGTGCATAAAACCGTTTCCCTTGAGGCTCGAAAGTTACATAAACCCGGTTCCCTGAAAACGCAAAGCACTTTAATGACTTGCACATAAAACCACTTCCGCGAAAAGACGAAGTACCCAGCCCGGCGCACCGGTTGGCTTTGCCCTGTGACCGCAGTGCCACTGTAGGACTCTACGTGGACATACCCAAAATATTGCTCACACTGGGTGCGGTGCGCCCTAGTGACCCGGCTGACCGAGAAACGGAATTCCTCTTGCCTGTCACGCTGCGCAGTGCGGCAGTGCGGCAGCGCCGGTGCCGGCCCCGAAATGGCTCCAGCAAGGAGCCCGGGGCCCGGAGCGCCTGGCGGGTAGGCAATGCCGACCCATCGGCGACTTGCGGGCCGGCATGCGCAGGCGGTGCGCAGGCGTCCCGCGCCCCGCGCCGCGCGGCCGAAGCTACGGTCGCTGGCTCTGCTCCGCTTCAGCAGAAACGCACTCACTCTGGACGATTGACTTTGGGGCCATTTCGACATGACGTCGCCGGCAGACCGGTTGATTCAATCACGCTCCTGCATGCATCGATCCAAATTCAAATTATGTGTATGCCAACCATGCCAACGTAACGTTTCACCCGGCTCGACCGCACAAATAATTTTTGGTTCAGATCTTTCAAGAGACTTCGAGAAGTTGAAACACCAAGATCTGTTCTCTTTTTAAAGTTAAATTCTCAGTATTTTCTTTTTCTTTCTGCTCAACAGCAGGTTGACCGGTGGTGAAGGAGCGATTTCGGTTGGTGGTTGTGGAGAGCCAAACCTCGCGACGTTTGTTAGGTTACGGTCTCCGGCAAGTTTCAAATGTAAACAAACAGATTACCATGAACAAAAAGAGGACGAAGGCAGAAATTCCTTATAAACGCTCGAAAAACGAATTGGTTAAGGCAACTCTTGGATCTTATTTGAAACGCCGTAATTATACTGTAAGTTATGTGTGTCATGTTATGCAGATTCTCTGTGACACGTACAGGTTAGGCGCATCATTTGGTTTCGGAGTGTCATAAATTACGATAATTCCGTGAAACCGTACTGAAATCCACTCTTTCTTCCTTTTTAATTCACTTTTTTTTTGCGACGCCACCGACAATGGTTTTATGGCGTGTCAGGTTGGATGGGAACCTGAAACCTGCATGATGTACTGTCTCTAAAACCAATTATGTTATTCTAAATCAATAGGATTTATAACTGTATGCTGTAGGTTTCCCCCATATATTTTTAAATTTTTAACTGATATTTGTACACAGTCTCATTTTAATGACAGTGCAATACCATAGTATAAAGCATACTGCCACACAGTGTATCCTCAATGTAACATTGTTGCTAATGTTTTAATGACTAAGATTTGTCCTGTTCCTTTATATTTGACCCTTTGTCCTTCTTTGCAGCTATCTGAAACAATAAAAAACTCAAATTGTGAAAACCACGTATTTCAAAATCACGACTTTGGGCAGAAACTAGAAATTCCTATTCTATTCAATAGGGAGCAGATTGCCCTTGCAACTGCCATAGACAATGATGTAACTAGGAATAACTCAATACTTTATAGCTGCATCAATAGTGATACTCTACAAGTAGATCAACAGTTTACCAAGTAAGATTCTTTGAAATAATCGGGGGAGTATTTTAAAGTTGTGATTTTTATCAAAGTTTGATGACAATTTTAGATATTTAATCACTTTTGCTTTCCAACAGTAGATTTAGCTTAACACACATTTGCTTATATTTTTTCTGACTTTACAGATTCAAAACATGGGTTAATGACTTAGCTGCCGCAGATTGTCGTTCGGAGTTAACATGCTTGATTATACCTTTATTTTGTCATATATATCTGGAGATGTTGCAAGGTGGCAATCGACAGTCTGCACCCAAGTTTCTTAAGCGATATCAACATTTATTAGCCTCTGAAAATTCTACGGTTGGGAGAATATCTGAAATTTTAGATGAATTATCTGTTGTAACTTGCACACAGGATATCAATACAAGGCCATTATTAAAGGCATTTCGGTATGTCACTGTTCATCTGTACTTGGTTTAAAAGTTTTCTGTTGTTCCTTTTTTCTATTTTTTTCATTTTTTGCAGCTCGTGTAAATACCACTGTCAATTATCCGCCAGAAGTTTGGCCTGCTTAAAGAAGTACCTAACTGTGCAGGGCCACGTAGTACTGTTCCAAGTGAGTTTCTCAAATCAATCCAAATGATATGTATAATGAGTTGAAACAGAACTGACTCTTTTAAAGAGATTTGGCCACAGAAGACATACTCACAAACCTAGCATTAAATGTCACTTGAAAAGGATTTACCTTAGGGTACTCCACTGATGGTACATGCTGCATAAATGCCTTATCCTGTTACTTCTTGCTTTTTCAGGCTCTCCAGACATGGTTCGAACTTGAGGTACCAACAACATCAACCATGGTTACTCGATTAGAGGAGGATGATGATAAGACTGACTTAAGAGACCAGAAGAACTTCAAGATGGATAATATTTTTACCACTTCCAAACGGAATTTTCCAGTGAGATTTTGTTGGATCATATAGGCATTTTGTTGTGGATTATCTATTTTAAATCTAAAATTGTAGCTAAAAAAAAATAGTTTGTAACTCTTATTTATGTTTACATTTTCCAATTTTCTACTTTATACTATGAATTTCAAATATTTCTAGAACTATCCACATCAAAATTTCAAACCTCCTCTTTGATTTTTGCTCAGTTGTGATTTGACATACTAACTGGTGTCTTTTTAATTGAAGATGAAAAATGGTCCGATTACCCCAGATGAACAACTATGCCAACTGCAAGAAGCTGTGCGATTGTTGGAAGACGAACCCACAAAAGTTATCCCAATAATGTTGTACACTATTGTCAACACAGACTTAAAGTAAGTTCAATTCAGGTATTGCTGATGTAATTTGTTTTACAATGCCTTACTCATTCCATTGCTCCTTAAAAAAAGTGTTACATGTGCAAGACTGTCACAGTCTCAAAGAGTGTTAGTTGCTGGGTGCATGTCATCAGAAGTAAGAGTTTACCCAATACCTGGAAGTCGAAGTCTTGGATATGAGTGTCCCATAATTAACAATCCCACTGCACACATCAATATTGCCTGTAATAAAGTCTTACCTCCTCGGAAAATCCAGCAAATTGGGTAAGTAGTAACTCCTTGCTTTATTGCTCATTCTAGTCAGTTTTCTTTCATTGCGATTGTATATCAGGAATTTCCTTTGTAATTGTAGATTTGAGGACTCAAATTATGAACCTTTGCGAGGCCATAGTGATATTGTACATGACGTGGCTTTTGTGCCTGAAGCAGATACTGTTATATCTGTGTCTGCTGATTGCACCATGAGAGCATGGGATATGCAGGACTTCTCAAATGCAGCCATATACAGGTAGCCTTGAATACCCAATGCAACTTTCTTTTAATGTTTTGTTCTCTGATATAAGTTTTGTCATTACTGTACTATTTATGTTCTGTTACAGGGGACATAATTACCCTATTTACAGTGTAGATGTAAGTGCCTGGAGTGTGTACTTAGCGACCGCCTCTCATGATCGGACAGCTCGACTTTGGTCTCTAGATAGGACATTTTGCTTGCGTATATTTGCTGGACATCAACAGGAAGTAAATGTAAGTTTTTATCACTGTAGGTGAACAATATGGTATTAGTAGAGTTAATGTTAAAATTACACAAAAAAAATAATTAAAATTTAATTGGAGTTTTTCAATTTTTAGGTTGTGAAGTTCCACCCAAATGGAAGCTACTTAGCAACTGCCTCAGCAGATAAGACTGTTAGACTGTGGTCCATTGTTGATGGGAAAATGGTGAGGGTGTTTCCAGGTCACAAGGGAAGTGTGCACGCCTTGGCATTCAGTGATAATGGAAAGTACATTGCCTCTGCTGGTAAGTTTTTCTGTTAGCTGGTTTTTTCTTATTAAATTTTTAAAAAATGTTTTAATTATTTTTTATGTGTTATGTTTGATTATTATTATCTTTACTTCCCTTACAGGAGATGATAAAAGGGTAAAAATATGGGATCTTGCAGAAGGAACTGTGGTTGCTGACTTAAAAGGGCATTCAGATTCTGTAGTGGGATTACATTGGGTTCCTGGCTGTGATGGTATTGCCTCATTTAGTACTGATGGAGTAGTCCGAACTTGGGGGTTGAATACAACATTAGGGTAGGCCTTTTTTGCTTAATAATATCCAATGACTCTGTGTATGCCCTTAAGGGACTCGGACTAAAACCAGCATCTTTATTTCTGATTTCAGAACTGACTCATACAGCAATGATGTCCTTGAGTGTGATACTGGCTGCTCTCACCTGCTCAATCTTCAATATAGTCAACGCAACAGTGTAACATGCATAGGTTGTCTTTGAAAATCTTCTATTTGAGTGTTTTCTCTTGTTACCAAAGGTTAGACTGGAGTGAAAATAATGTGAAATAAAATGTGTGCAATAAAAAGTGAGCGAAGGAAGGAAAAATATCAAAGAAATAACTACTATTAGGTTTCGCTTCCTCGGATTAATTTATTTGTGATAACACCAAATACTTGGGAAGTTCAAAATTAGTTTCAAATACTGTTGTAGGCAATATCAGGGTCAAACACTTTATTGTTTTGTTTAAAAATAGTACGACCACCAACCTAACTATCCTCTGTTAAAATGTTTCATTCCAGCCTAATCTTTGCTCCATAAAACTGTTCTGCTTTCACCATTAAACATTGGCTTTATTTATTTTGTATGCCAATTTTAAATGTCTATCACAGTTGATTGTGGATTTCCACATTAGATTTTTGTTCCTTGGTACATGACAATGAAGTATTAGTTGTAAGGTAAAGGATTGTTCCACTCTTAACTTTGTAAGGTAACGAATTGTTCCACACTTAGGTTTGTAAGGTGACGAATTGTTCCACACTTATGTTTGCAAGGTAAAGAATTGTTCCACACTAAAGTTCAGTAGCAGAACCAAACTTTACAGCAGTAACAGTGTCAAATGCTACTTAAAATGTGATTTGGTCAATTACGCAGTTTGTTCGTTGTATTACCTGCACTTCCCTGTAGTGCCAGGACTCTGTGATATCTTTGTCAAGTGGACTGTTACTCCGTTACAGTTGTAAATTTAAAGATGCACTGCCTAAAAACTAAGTTGGGTATAATCAAAAGAGCAATGTTTTACTTGTAACTATGTGATGAAGTAGCTTTTGGGGGCTTTTGCTCACTACTTTTGAAGATTGTTTACTTCCTTTTGCATTTTCAACTGACTAGTGTGTACATGGTGATACTACTGTATTTTGTATGCATGCAAGAAACTCATATTCTTATAATATGTATATGTTATGGTGCAAGAACCTTTCCAGCTAATATCTAACTTCTACAGTGAGGGGTCACAACTGCCAATTGATACGGAGAAAAGCAAATGATGAACATTCGCGACGCGAAGGTTGCATGGCGCCCGGCCGTTTCGGTTCCACTAGGCGAATGATACGGACCGGTCGCCATCAGCACGCTGCGTGTGTCCGGACTACATTAATTCATTCGCCTTTTGTTTGTTTCGGCTGGTGATTGTCGTATTTCAATGCTGGTCTTTCACAATAACATAAATCCTCTTTTTAAAAAAAGTATTTTTGTATCTCCCCTAGATCTTTATTAACTAATTTTCCACAATTTGTGGTGCTGATTTCAAGAGTATTTCAATTACATGCTATTTATTCATCCTCTATGGATTGTGATGTTTTGAGTATGAGCAATATTTACTTACTAATTGAATTGATTTCAAAATCTAGTTGTGCTAGCTTGTGCAAGTAGCCCACCCATGGGGCCAAATTAGGAAAAAAAGCTGACAAAGAATTTTGTTTAACTTCTAAGTGGTTGTTTATTTTCCATAGTTGCAATCTCATCAATAAAATTACAAAAATAAGTTCATTATAACTGATATTTAACAAGAAACTAAATACCAAACAGGTAAAACTAAGTAACAATATTAAAATCTGTTGGTTGTTTAAGTACATGGCTTTCTTTTCCCCAAAAAAACTCCTAAATGTAGCTGCACATTGTCACTACTTGCAAGGATCTTAACATCATAAACAGCTTCAAAAATACTGTAAATGAAAGCAACTGAGAGTAAGAGAGTATATATAGATCTTGAATAACTAAATTAATTATAATTGGGAACTTCTTCAAATGGTCGAAATGGAAACAAAATAATATCTTTAGAGTATAATCACAGGCAACAAGTCTTCAGGCTTCAAATTCAGCAACAGAATCACAACAGAATTTTGTCTAGATTAAAAGATACTGACAAAACACAACACCATAGTTGCCACTGTACCCGATTATCACAAAAATGTTTGTTGTCTAATTATCTAACAAAACGAGATTCATGATAACACATCATTGCCGTAAGGGTACGTTGGGGATGAAAAGTACACCCCACTGTGACCTACTGCAGGGATCTCAACATCCATTTGACAGGGATTTCACACTCAGATTTTTTTGGTTGAAGTAACTGGGATGGTTCCAGTCAAGACATCAGCTCCACAAGGATGAGCTTTTCTTACACTGAACTTTTCTTCCCCAACATACCCCTATTAACAAAAGTCAGGAATCTTTACTAACCAACATGCAGATATGATTATTTGCAGACAACAATTGATAAACACAAGGCCAAATTGTAATTAAAGATATATCAACCATTAGCCACCAGTGCAGTCTACTGTCTGAATGTCACAATTTCAATGTTATAAAATTCCCAGTCTTCATAGGTTTTATAGCTATGCTAATAGTAAAGCAGCAAATGAGACCAATAATATTAAAGTTATGATAGAATAAAAGGGCATAAAAAGAAAATTGTCAAAAATTTGATTGCAAGATAGAGGTACAGCATGGAAATCATAAATGAATAGAAAAAGAGACATGAAAAGATAGTGCTCCAAACACAGTTCATATTTTAAAGAAAAACCTGAAGCATAATAAAGAAAACTATCAATAAAGCACATAAACAAAGTGAAGAAGACCTGTGTAGACAATGGTAACGTATCATTGCACAAACTACCGGTATGTTCATTTCTTGCGAAAGAGACTGGGCAAACCAGGTTGATTCCCTAAGTTCTTAGGCTGAAACATTTTGCTCATCCGCTGCCTCATGTCCTCCACGCCTTGGTTCATATTTGCTGTTGCTGATGCTAGTCCACGACTGGAGCGCCTGTAAGAAACGGTTGAACGGCTCATGCGTGAATCTGAGTCTCATTGAGGGCAAAACAAAGTAAACTTACCTTTCTTCTTGCCGAGTCGTCGGTGCATCAGATCTTGACTCAACTTCTCGCATCATGGCCAAGATTGTTTCTCTATGAACTGGTTGCAGCTGTTGGCTTATTTGTTCAAGATAACTAGAACAAAAAAGTGTCATTAGGATTCTAAAAGTTGCAGAGGCAATAAGAATGCCAGGATACCAAACAATTCTGTCTTTTACCGCAAACCAGGAAGCACAGCACTGCTTAGGACTGATGCTGGAAGTGGAACATACACAGCTGCAGAGAAAGCCTCCGTCAGGGCAACCGCTAAATCCAACCGGCGAGTTAGATTCTGTAGTTGCGAGGCATATGCAGCTAAGCCTGCGAGCTGTGGCATTATAACTGCAAATGTAAGCAAAAGTACATATTGTAATGTGCATGAAAAAACACAAAAGATAAACACAAAAGAGAACTTAGCTTTACCATCTTCTCTAAATTGGGCGTCACAAGAAGAGACCACCTGACCAAGTGTGGTGACCAATTGTAGCATCAGTGCATGGCTGTCTTTAGTAGCAGGATCAGATAACACACTCTGGAGTTGGAAACAAACTTTCTCTTTCACCTAAAATCAGATAATTTGAGACAATATAATTGAAGCCCTAAACTGGCAGTTAAGTAGGTTCCACTAGTGGAAAAAAGGATGCTTCACTAACTTCCTTAGTAGTAGTGCTTAGGATAAGTTTTCCAAATGTAGGAACTGCAGCTGTTTTGACTGATCTGCAAACAAAAACACCAAACAGTTTTTAATAAAAAACCTTCTTTGCAACACAAAAAAAAAAAAAAACTACAGTGACACATACACATCAGGGTCACTGGCTAATGTGACCAAAGCAGGGGCAACTCTCGCTGAAATCAAGGCTTCTGGTATGGTTCCAATTACAGCCGAAAAAAGAGAAGCCGTTGCACACCGCACTGGGGCACGCTGGGAAACAACACCTTAAACAAAGACCAAAGGAAACCTAGTGATTGTATGTTCTTTATTTTCTAAGGCCCTGCAAGAATAGAAATGTTTCTTGCACCTTCCCATAAAGTTGCCAACACTGCCTCAGTGACAGTGTCCTTGTTGGCACAACACAAGACAGATACTGCAGCCTGCAGAGCATCAATGGGACCACTTCCAAATCTATCAGGGGTATTAGCTGAGCAAAGAGGCAGTGCCATCAAAAATCTTCGCAGTGTGTTTCGGAGGTCATCTATTTCGGTTTCCGACTGTAACACCACATAAATACATGTAAATACAATATAAAGCACACCAGGTAAAGATAAGATTAAAACTTAATTAATGTCTACTTTGAAAATTACCTGACCAGTTGAAAGGACACCACCAAGGTACACTGCGAGGATAGAAAGAGAAGGCCAACAGGATTTTGCAGCAGATCCTGATAATTCAACTAAGGTCTGCTCGATTTCTTGGAGCTTACTCTCAAATGCTGGCTTTATCTGCAACATCATAATATAATTGTATGGGTAAACAAGACTGAATTCAATTTAAAGCTACAAAAACATTTTTAAAAAATGTTGTTTTATACCAGTTTAGAAACGACTAATGGTCCAAATCCTGCACATAAATAGCGGAAGAAGGACACAAGGGCACACAAGAGGTCATCTTGAGAAACAGTGACATGGTTTAGAATGTCAATAAGAACTGGAAGCCTGCAGGAAGATTACAATTAGTGGAAAGAGATAAATTAATTATTGTTAATTTTAAATAGCTGAAAACGTAACTCACATATTGTCAGATATCCAGCATAATTCAGGCCAATAATGTGAAGCATCCAGGTCAATTAAGAAGGCATCAAATGCTGCAATTATCTGTCCAACAGTAGTACTTCCACAGTGAAATACAACCGGATTTGAAAGACCACGACACAGCTCAGAAAAACCAATTCCTAAATAAAAACATAGATTGAAAGACATTAAAAAAGAAACACAAACAATTGATGAGGGATCCATAATGAATCAGTTGGTTTTGTTGTTGTCAAGGGACTCACTCGATTGAGGTGCCAAGAGATCAGAAGAGATCCTGGCAGTGACTGGCTGAACATTGGCTACGCATAACACAAGGAAAGGCAGGCCAGCAGTCATGACTGTAGTAATGTTTAAAGCTGCCAGTGAAGCTTGACTTCCGCTGCTTGGAACCATTGAAGGACTACGAGGTGATTCTGCCTGTTTGGCCTGAAGGAGTAACAAACAAGTGTACATGTAATTTATGAAGGAACAAAAAGCTTACACAGGATGCATACACAAGTGGATTGCAAGTGCAATTGCAGGTGGAATTACAGACCTGCACATGTAATGAGAGTTGATTGAGTAATTTTGTCAAGAGGCTTGACTGAAGACAGTTGGTGGAAAGAGCCCATTGAGCCACCACAGGAAGCAAAGTTTGAGTGACACAATTGATTACGATGGGTGAAGGGTCAGTTAAACAGGCTATGACAAGATCTTCACACTAAACAGCAAAACAAAATAAAAAATTGTCAAAAACAAAACGTTTTGCATTATAATTGAAACATGTAGATCATAGCTTATTCCTAGAAAAGGCACCTGAGCATATTTATCACAGACTGGACTCATGGCAGCAATTAAAGCAGCTGATCGAACAACAGCAGCCCGGACCATCTCTTCACGGTCCTCTGAGAGCATTTGTTGTAGGATGGATAGCATAAGAGAGTTTCTCATTGCACCCTGCCAAGAAAAGGATAAAATAGGATGGGATAAAATTTAAATCAACATAAATACAACTTAGGAACAAAACTAGACCAAAATATTTTATAATCAGTTTATATACTAACAGTCACAAACGGAGCCAACACTCCACAAGCTTCAGCGACAAGAAGTCTGCGCTCCACATATTTGTGATTGATTTGCTCCCAACATTGAGGCAAAACCTCATTTTCTACAAGTCCACATTCCATCCCTTGAGCAACATATATTAAACCTGCAAACACATGCAAAATTATTATCCCCAACCCTTACAAGGTGATTGTTTGCTTTTCTTTAATTTCCAAGAAATACCAGTCAAAATGAGACGCCGTTCCTCCTCATCTGGTCTCTTCTTAAGGTTAAAAAGTTGGTGCAAAAGGCCATCTCTTTCTTTGCCATCAGGATGAAGCCGCACTAATGTTACCAGCAATGGAATCACTTCCTAAAAGCATACAGCAAATTATCACAAACTTTGGTAAAGTAATAGAAAGAAACATATAGAAACACACAAACCTCTCGTCTATTCAAAATGACACAGGGTAGAAGTTTCACAAGTGTCTTAGACAAAATATGTACAAGTTTGTCAGTAAGACCATCTGTTGGCCCTGAGAGTTCCCCAACCTTTGAAAGAGCCTCTGACAAATGTTGGTGACTCTCAGGTAATTGTTGGGTGTTTATAGTGCATATGGACAAAACTTCCTTACAAAGAGCTGTAGACAGAGGTCTGGAAAGACAGTCAGGTAAAACACCAAGAAAAGCAATTGGATAAACAATAAGCCACAGCATATAATGCTCCATAGCATTATTCCATGAAGTAAAATCACCTTTCAAAGTCCTGATAAAATGTATCTAGATTTACAGATGAAGGCACATTTTTTGCTCTGGTCTGTGGAGCACTTTGGCTAGATCCAACCGAAGTCCATTCCGCATCAGCCGAAATACGGTCTTCATCTTCCGTTACAAGGCCTCTAGTGTCACTTGCACCCCACGCCGATCCCGAGCCCGAGCCCGAGCCTGACTGGGAGTCTGACCTTGTTACCTTCACAGGGTCGGGAGTGGACATAGTGACAGAAGCCCAGTCAATGTCAGCCGATATCTGATCTTCTTCAGCAGTAGTATGTTGTAAATCTGATTGGTTTCATACAAACAGTTATTCAGATGATTTGGAAAAGTATCATCAATATTATCATTCAAATAATTGATATACAAGGTACAGTATATACCTCTCAGGTCCATTGGGGCCACAGCAGTCCAGCCATCACCATCCTCTTCATCTCGATTAAAACTTTCCTTACTGGTCTTTGCTGCTTCTTTTACATGCTCCCCAGAATGGTTGGCATCATTGCTTAGCCTATAAAGGAAAATATTAAAATGTGATACAAATGTAAGCCAACAACAACTTGGAGTCCTTTACTCACCGTTCAAGCGACCATAGTTTATTCTGAAGTTCCTGTTTCTCTCTCTCTAAACTTTCATTCTGTCCTTGCAATCCACAAACTTCATTTCTCTGTCAAATTATAAGGAAATTGGTTACAAGAGAAGCATGTAAGTACACAGTTGTATATGTAAGGATTCTAACCAGTTTTTCTATTGCAGTAATATCTACGGTCTGCACATCCTCTTCAGCAGCATCATCTGTTTGACATTCTGCATCAATGTGAGGAGCTTTCAAGTGACCAGTCTGCCTCATGTAATCACGATATAACTGAAGCAGCTCTGCAGGTTTGGGAATATTAAGACCAACATCATCCCAATCCTCAAAGTCCTGAAGCACAAATACGATAAATGTTGAGCTTCCAAAGTTTTAGGGATTATCAACAATATTGAACGGACCCCAACAATACCTGGTTTTCATTTTCATCAGCAAAAGTAATTGATGTCAGTTTATAGTCATGCAACATTAGATACTCATTAATGAGAAAATTGAGAGCTCGCTGCTCATGAGGTTTGACTGGTTCGCTGCCAAACGGTTTAACAGCAACCCCTTCGGGTGTTGGAGTCTCAGATTCTTCAGGCAACATTCAAAATTAATCTTAGTAAAATAATGATTTTTAAAAATGTGCAAAGAGAAAAGGAATACTCACCAGTGGCAACAGTCAAGTTAGCTCTTAAAGCACATATTGTCTCCTTTGCCTTTCGCAGTTCAAATTCAAGAACTGCTACCCTTTCATCAACTCCTCTTTCACCATCTTCTGAAAACCTCGTTAAATCTAACGAATCAAGAGTAGCTTGACTAAGTGAGCGTGCTGTAAAGAATCGAAATACATTATTCTGTGACAGTCCATGGAGCAAACAACAAAGACTTCTTCGTAGTACGAGTAAAGGGTACTTACGGATGGATGGGGAGCAAATATCTGGTTTAGCTATAGTATGCTGTTCGAAATTGCCAGGATTTGAAAAGAAGACTCGCAATTTGGGAAGCTCCTTCCCAGCTTCAACAAGTTCAGCATGAAGTTCTAAGGCAGTCAGGAGAAGGTTGTCATTCAAAAGTTTAGTAGCTATGTCATGGTAACTAAGATCACGAGTGTCACATGACGATTGCTCGTATTTCACATCACATTCTTCCTCTGCTTCATAGGGATTCAAGGAAGTTTGGTTCGAATCCATTACGTCAATAGCATTACATTAAGTCATTATCAAAAACTCTAGTTTCTGCTCATTGTCTTCTTAACCTCTCCATGTGTCAAAATAAACGTCACACACGAACACACAACCGAGCTGCTGATTCATATTCACGTACGAATACGAGGTGGCAGGCTTGAGGCTAGGCAGGGGAAGTCCCTGGGAAGCCGAGAAATTCTTCATATCGTTCTGCCTCAGTCAGAAGCGCAGACGACAGAGGATTCTAAGCCAGAGATGTATTTATCTCTGTCTCGGCAGCCAGCAGCCGCCAGCTAGACACTTCCTAGTTTTTAGTTCCCCAAACGGGAACGGAAGCGGAAACCACGTGTGCCCTCGCATCGTTCGTCGTCTGCTTGCGCTAGCTTGCGCCAGCGCCCTCTAGGGCCCCGGATGAGCCGCGCATCGCACCGAGCGCATGCGCACAGTGCGCCACCAAACAAACCCTGGCCTACACGCCTCGCGGCATATAAAGAAGTCCCCCCTCTTAGATTTAGAATATCGATAGTATGCTCGCAATTGTAAGTATTCTAGAGCTCTTAATTGGTTTATTGAGGGTTTAACGAAATGTTGATACCTCATGTGGTACCTTGATATGGGACTTCAGGGGTTCTGAAGCAAGTGCAGAAACCCATCTCTAAAATCTTCAAATAAGTTTTGTCATGTATTACTGATGTCAGTTATTTTCAATGTAACTTTCAGGAATATTAATCATGTCTACCACTAGTGACTCTGACGAATTTTACGACGCCGAAGACGGTACTCCTAGCCGAAGTGCAAGGTGGGTGATTCATCAAGACCCAAATTTTGCTTGTCCCAACCTTATGAACCTTTCATTTATTTTGCTCTCTCTTGATGTTCCTTCTTATTCAAAACATTTTTTCCTCCTTATTCCATAACTTAGTTTGTACTCTTTAGGCTAGAATTAAATGTAAACAAAATATTTTTGTTTTTTAACTTACGACTCTTTATGTTTAGAATTTCCATTACACAATTATTGGTTTGATAATCGGAATATTAATGATTGTGAAAACAAATAATACTGAGAAATTAATGTTCAATTCTCTTTCAGGCGAAGCCGCTCATTGAAACATGGTACATTACCTCGTTTGGATGATCCTGCTGTTAAGCTTATCACTTCACCAACTAAAGAATTGAGCGACCTCGACGAAACTCTAGTACCAGTTACAAACCTTAGTTCTTCCACAACTTCTTCACCTGCTGCTCCACCCAAAGAGAATATCGCTGAAAATGTGAGTTGATGACTTTTGCTATAATGTAATTTTGAACATTCATTTCAATGTTTCTGTTGTTTTTTTTTAAATCATTACTATTTTTATTCTTTTTATAAAGATATTGTCTTTAAGCTCGTTTTTAATTTATCTGATTGTCCTACATAAGGTGCCAGTTCCAAAAAAAGGTGCTGATAATTTGCAAGGCCGGAGACGCTTTAGAGAGTTACGCCAGAGAATGCAGACTGAGGAAGAGGATGCAGTAGGCTCTCCCCCCGACAGCCAATCTTCCTCCGTTGAAGGGATATTTGCCGTACCCCAAGCTGGCGCTGCATCAGTCGGAGGGTCCTCCTCAGGAACTAAAGCTTCTCATCCCTTTCGAATAATTGAACATGATGCACTTAGTCTTCAAAGTTTGACCTCCCTTGGCCGAGTTGGCAGAATATTGGGAGGAGTTCAGGATACTGTAAGCTTAAGTAGTGGTCGAGTTGAACAACAATTGACTTCAACAAGCTCCTGTAGTACTCTTGGTGGTGATTTGAAAGAGGAGGAAGAAGAAGAGTCTTCCACACCAGTGACTGCTCAAACTAGCCCTGTCACATCATCACCTACTCTATCATCAACCCCTACTACTTCAGCAAGCACTGCACCCTCATCTCCTTCTCACTATTCAAAAGGTGTTCTTCAGGAACCTGATGTGATAGCCAGTACTAAAAACTCTTTTGGTAACGGGACCTCTCCCCTCCCCTCAGAAGCTCCAGTAGCTCCCCCCAGAAGAAAGAAAAAAAACAAGGCTCCAAGCACCTCTACAACTGCTATTCCTTTAGTGGTAGGTCTTGTTTCTCAGAAGTTACTAAAAGAATCATTTCTGTTTGCAACTTCTAAAATTGTATTTCTTTATTTTTGTTGTTTTCTAGTGTGAAACTGACAGTGCTTCCACATCTTCACAACTTCCTAGCCCAGCAAGTACCATTGAATCCCTCACAAGGGATTTGGAACATTCTCTTGACATTCGCTCAGCAACAAAAGGGCAATATGTTGTCAAGCCTCAGGTACATTTGAGATTTTATAATAGATAAGTTTAACTCGCAAAGGCTGGACATCTAAACCTGTGTTGAATATTTTTGCAACAGGATGAAGATAAAGCTCGAGCAGAGGGTCCTCTTCCTGAAGAGCTAGATCGTCTTAAATCAGAAAAAGTGTCATCCAGGTCTAGTCAAGCTTCCAATAGTCCTCGAGGGTCTGTAGGAAGCAACAGCATAGGGCGCAAACCTTCCTTGTTAGCTTGTGTTGCCAATGAAAGTGTTGGTGCAACTGTAGCTGTTGGCTCCGGCACAGCAAGTAGCACGAGCAGCACCAGTATGAGGGATTTCAGTTCTGTTGGCACAGGTGCAGTGGATGAATGCAGTAACAGTTTGTATTTTGTCATTGTGTTGCTGAAAATTATTTTCTTATCCCTTTAGGGAGTGGCGGAAAGAGAGGACGGAGCACTTTGGGATCTCTGAGCAGTAATAGTATTGGGAGAGAAGGTGGAGAAAGTAGTCGTCATTCCCTTAGTCCACGAGGATCCAAAGAAAGACGCAGGTCTGCTGGTGATGAGCAGGGAATGTTAGCACAACTTAATATGTTTGTTCGTACACGCACAGACTCTGGCAAGCAGCTCTCAGACTTGGTAAGCATCCATGTACTGCTCTCTTTAGAGAGCAGTCCATTTTTGGTCCATTTTAATCTAATGTTTCAATGCAGTATATGGACGTTCCCTCAAGGACAAATGCATTTGTTGCAACTGTGTCAGCTTATATTTTGCATCTTTTTGTTTCAGGAAATTTTGTCTCAAGTAACAGTACTTAATCTAGATACTGGGGAAAGAGTTCCTCTAAGTATAGCAGAAGACAAGCTTCCTCAGTGTATAAACCCGTTATCATTGCACATAATGCGTCTTACTTCTGAATATGCTGGGACAGAGGCAAGTAGTCCCACCTCAAGACCTCGTGAGTCAGATGAAGAAAGTATTGATAGCAAGATGTCAGTACCTCTCTCAGTCTGCGACTCGTTGGACATAGATGATGTTGAAAGTGAGGCAGGAAGTGTCCGAAAGAGGACTGCAAGGTTTAAAAGATTTTTAGGTTCTACGGTTAAGAAGACTATGAACAAGGCAAAAACAATCGCTCAGGAGGTAAAATAGATTTAAGCAATTTTTAAATTGTGTTTGTGTTTATTGTTTAAGAACCTCAAGTTCTAAAGAGACTCATTTTCAGGTATCTCATGCAAGACATAAAGAAGATGTCATGGATATTGTAGACAAGGTTAACCCAAATGACCCCCCTTATATGAAATTGAAGGCAAGCAGTAGTCATAAAGGTCCTTATGACTTTGACCAGCTCCAACATATTCAGGACCTCAGTGGTGAACATGTTGGACCTATTTGGTGCATGAAATTTTCAACTTGTGGGAGGCTACTTGCCACTGCAGGGCAGGATCGTATTCTAAGGGTTTGGGTCATGAGGAGTGCTTATGCTTATTTTCAGGTGAGCTTAGAGGTATTTTTGTTTATCTTTTCATTTTCATTTCTCGTCATTCTTTTAATCAGCAAAATTCTCTTTCAGGAAATGCGAACCAAATACAATGCAGAAAAAGTGTCACCAACCCCATCTCAAGAATCTTTGGTTTCCCAACATTCTGCTGGTGCCAGTTCTACAGGCGCAGCCTATGATCCCTCAGTTGCTGATCCGAATCCTAACAGTCCTTTTATGCCACGTCCATTTTGTAAATATACTGGTCACACTTCAGATCTTCTGGATGTTTCATGGTCAAAGAATTACTTTGTTCTAAGCTCTTCAATGGATAAGACTGTGAGTGTGCACATTGTTTCCCTCTGTTGGGACAGTGTTGTCTTTTCTGCTATACTTATTTCAATTCCTCATATCTTTTCTATAGGTTCGACTGTGGCACATTTCTAGGAAAGAATGCCTGTGCTGCTTTCAACATATAGACTTTGTAACAGCTATAGTGTTTCACCCTCGGGATGACCGTTATTTCCTGAGTGGATCTTTGGATGGTAAAATCCGTCTGTGGAATATACCAGATAAGAAGGTAATTTTCTTTGTTTGGGACATTTTTTATAAATATTTTTTTGAATTGGTGTCTATTAATTTTCTATATTCTTTTTAGGTTGCTGTTTGGAATGAGGTTGAAGGCCAAACAAAACTTATTACAGCTGCTAACTTTTTCCAGAATGGAAAATTTGCTGTTGTAGGTTCATATGACGGCCGTTGCATATTTTATCATACAGATCAGTTGAAGTATCACACTCAGATACATGTGCGATCCACTCGTGGCAAAAACTCAACTGGCAGGAAAATAAGTGGAATTGAACCCATGCCTGGAGCTGATAAAATCTTAGTTACATCTAACGATAGTAGGATTCGCCTTTATGACCTTAGAGACTTGAGTGTCTCTTGCAAGTACAAGGTATGTACATGGTATAATTTCCCACTCCCAAGAAACCTCAAATGTTACTTCCAGTTTAAAAAATTACCCTTCTTTATTTCATTTAGGGCTATGTCAATGTCAGCAGTCAGATCAAAGCAAGTTTCAGTCATGATGGAAAGTATATTGTAAGTGGCTCAGAGAACCAATGTATTTATATATGGCGTACAGACCATGATTATTCCAAATTCTCATCTGTACGCAAAGACAGAAATGACTTTTGGGAAGGTATTAAAGCACATAATGCTGTAGTCACATGTGCTGTATTTGCACCTAATCCTGAGGCAGTTTTTCGACAAATTGATGATCAAGATGAAAAAGATGAAGAGAAGGCAAAACCTAGAGTGGCAAGTAGAAATTCACATTTGCCTTTGCTGTGTTGCTTCTCTTGTTTCCACCTATCAGAATTTTTAACATTCTTTAAATATCTTGAATATTTTTTTTTCAGGTTGAAGATCCCTTGGTTGCTCAGCACAAACAAGGCTGTGGTGGTCATGTGCTTGTCAGTGCAGATTTCAATGGATGTATCAAAGTTTTCATTAACAGGACTAAACCCAAGCATAGTTCATTGCCAGCATCTGCACTGGTGTAGATGCATATTTCATGGTCTGAAAGTTAACACTTGTTGTCAAACTACATTTTTGCATTCATATTGATCTAATGGGACCAAAGCCAAATGGCTCAGTCTTAGAGCATAATTCAAATGAGTGGCAGGGTAAAGGGAAGTGCAGTACTAACAAACAAAAAGGTTTACTGTCGCATCCATCATTAGGACTTTATTCTCAAAGGCTGATACTTAAGATTCTTGCAAGTCCCCCTTCTTGAGCTATTGTGGCTAATTTTGGCTTTTGTACTCCACTTGTATTATTATGCTCCTTACGTGATTATTAGATCTAACTGTAAGTCGGAGAAATTAATTTTTTATTACTTAATACATTTTTAATAATGTACAGTATGTAATTGTGGTCGGCATGCCTTGAAAATGCATATGAACTTCCTTCTGGAAAATACAAGCAACATCCAGCTTGTTCTATGAAATTGCTCATCAGGTCCCTGTGATTTCATAGTTTTGCTCCTAATTTTTATGCATGTTATTCCAACTTAATTATCTGTCTATTATTTCTGCTTTTTACTGTGCAAAAAGGATACAGTTATCTAGTGTTATATTCTAGGCTTCCATCTGTGGTTAAACTAGGTGACTGGTGGTACCTAGTTCTATCAACCCAGGATCTTACCTTCAATCGGTCATCTCTATCAGGTCTGTCTCAGTATCACCTTATTGATCATTTGTGAAAACAAAAACCTGATCCTTCTGCAATTTGTGATATTTGGCCTGTGTTATTTCTTAATTGTATGGAGTTCTATAGGAAGCTTTTATTGGTTTGTGTTATTCTTTCTTTTTTTCTTTTTGGACGCACAATCTTTTTTATTGATTACATTTTAAATGGGTATGTGGCTCGTCTCCTAACTTTTCATTTCTTTGTGGAATACACCGGGTACAGGTCTGAAACCTTTCTGGAAGAGCATTTCTTTTGATGCGTCTTCTATTTTCTATGTTGATGTAAAAGAGCTTTAGCTTTTTTTCATTATTGTTATTTATTTATTTATTTACTTAACTGCTTCCTTTTGAGTTTTTAAGGTCTGTACAGTGTTATGAAATCAATTGCTAAAATTTTGTATATGTGGTATGTTTACAAAATTTGTAGCCGTGTTTGATTGTTTCATCTTATCAAGAATCACTTCGTATGAAATATTTAACTTTTACCGAATGAATTTGTAACCATTGTTAAAGAAACTGACCACTGAGTGACGTTCATGTTTTGTCTCTAAACAAAATCTGTGGTTTCAAAGTTTTAACAAGAAGCCTGAGTGTGCAGATCGGCTCTGCCCCTGAAAACCAATACAGGTTGTACCTGCATATTGCTGTTAATTTTAATGTCACATGTGACATGTCTTGCCTGGATTAATTATGGTTCTGCTTCTTTGAACTGATAATTTAACTTAGCACAATGCTATGCATTTCAGCTATGAGGCAGTAAAATTGAAGTAATATTTTCCCAGTTACAGTATCATTTTGTTACACTTCTTAAAGCTGCACCAGTATTTTGTTTTTCTAAAGTCTGGGCCTTGGGCATAAGTGAATTTTTATGGCAACTCAGTATAATATATTACGTGGATTACATTTTGAGAACCTTCTTACTGTGAATAACACTCATTCCTTGCTTTGGCTGCATTTGTAAGCACCCCGACTGCTATAGAATTTCACAAATTCTCACTACTAACTCTGCATACTGTTTTCAGAACAATATGCCGTACATATATCTGGCAATAATATTACTCTGATAATTTCAGTTGGTATATTTTTAGTTCTTAGTGAGGTAGCAAAATTCCACGGCACCTGGTTTCCATATTTATGTTGGGACCTTTATCCAGTCTATCTGCCATTTTGTTGACCTTGTCATTAATGTTTTAGTGCGATTTAATGTAAGTCATTAGATAATGTGTACAATGCTTCCCCTAGTCAAAACTTGTGGTGTCTTTTTCATTTGAATTGCAAGTTGCTCTATTTTGTTGATGAATTCTGAAGCAACCAATGTATGTCAGATATTAATTTTGAAAGTCTCCTACTTAAATTTGTGTAATGGTACACTCGCTGAAAATATTAACAATTGTTTGTATTGGTATTTTATTACCTTTGATACGGCAAGTCATCCTTTATCCTTTCTATTATAACAATCTGGATAAATTTTGTGATTTTGAACATCGGACTGGAATGGAAAAAAACGGGTGGCCAGTATTTTCTGTTGCTATTATTGAGAGCAATTGATTTTGCTTTCTGAAAGTGATGCCAATTTATTTTTAAAACGTTAAATGTTGTCGGTATTAGAAAGAGTGTCTTTGTGATGTTAGATTTGATGTTGTTCAGGAAAAGGGTCCACTTTGTTGATCACTTCCTGTAGATAATTGTTACCAAAGTTGTAATTTATTCCTGTTTCTCTTCAACATCAAACTCATTAAATTCAGTCATGAATATAGAAAGTATTTTGGGATGAATTAAAATGCCTCATTAGAAAGGACCATTTCTCTTAATTCCTTCCTTAATCTACCCCACACATTCAGTCTCCCGTTGACAGAGTTCATCCAACACTTCAGCACGTATCCTTCAGTAGGCGTCCTAATTGATATTACTTTACAGTTGGGATGTTGCTTGCTCCTCAGTGACCTGTTGATCGCCAGGGGTGGTATGTTTGTCCTCCTCGTCATTTTTGTCACCATCTTTCTCTCCGCTACGGTCTGCAGACAAAAGTTAAACTGTGTTCTTGGTTTCACCATGGAGTGGACACTCAAAGGCATTATGATGTTGACACTTACATCGTCCAAGCAGAGCCCGCTCCAGGCCATGAATCGGCGACTCGAGCATCAGCGACAGGATGAGTGCTCCCAGGAACGTGGCGAAGATCTGGGAGACGACTTCCAGCGCCTGCAGAGCCGAGCATCATTTCACTAAAGAGAGCTGCATCGAAAGAAAGAATGCCAACATGGAGGGGCATCGCATTTCGCATACCAATGCCGGCGTGCTAAGGGTCCGCGGCTGGCGGACCCCGGCGACGCTCCACAGGACGACGCCTCCATTGACGAGGTAGGCGCAGTACGTGAGGCGGCTCAGGGGCACCAGTGGCCGCCACGTCAGGACACGCTGCATCACGCCTGTCAGGCACACTCACAAGCTCAAAAACAGGGGTCAACACAAAACAAATATAAAGATTTACAAAAAGCACTCACACACACAGAGATCCAAGTACTCGAATCCGAGCAGGAGCAACAGCTACTCACCCCCGTTGCCGGTGACGCAGGCGAAGATGATCCAGGCCGTGGCCGCGCACCAGCCGAGGCGGTGCAAGGAGGCGTACAGGGCGGCCTCCAGCGGGCGGTACGCGTGTCCGGACTGGTAGAACGTCGACACGGAGAACATGCAGGACACCCCGACCAGGACGGCGGCGGCCCAGCCCAGGCGGACGCTCCGCTGTAACGAGAATTCGAGTTATCGAGAAACCTGCTGTGAAAACGACCAAACTTGGGGAGGGTCCTCCCTCTTCGTGGGGATCCCTTGACGGGGGAAAGCGGACTTCCCCGTCGCGTCAAGTGAGTTGCCTACCTTGTGGGGCTAGAGCCTCTACAGAGCCAGGCTAGAGGCATTAAAATTCAAAATGGACCAACTTTATGACAATGTCAATGCGGGCCAAGATTAGAAAAGGGTCGGTTTGGAGTGGAGTCGCAACAGCAACGACCTCCTGGCAGTGCTGGAGTGGTGCAGTGGTGTCGCCCCATTCGGCGCCGGGCCGGGTCGGACCGAGGAGACGCAGGGCGCAGGGCCCAGGACGTTGGCGGTGACCGCGGCTTCTGGCCGGAATGTTTGCGCCCAACGAAAGCGAGAAGCACGGCCCCACCCTCCTCGCCCCGCCTCGCCCGCCTCGCTCCCAGTCCTCCTTTCTTCCGAGGACTCAAATCCAGGGTACGGACACGCGGCCGGCGGCCATGGCGCGGTGCGTTGCGGTGCGTTGCGGCGCGTTCACGGACTTTTTCTTTGTCAAACACGGTTCCGCGCCCAGAGAGGCATCCGCCCAGTCGCCTGCATTACGTCATGGGAGTAGTATGGGAGTGAGGCTGGATCACACTGGGAATCACATACACCAATCCATACTGGAGCACCAATACATTGATTGATTGATACAAAGAGTATTGCGCAGAACTGCCACTGCTCCTGGTAGCTGTCAGCCGTTTGGAGCGACTTTCTGGCCGTGTCGGGGAAAGCAGGCTCGGACCGATTGCAGCACATTTCTTATTCATTACTCTATTCCCCAGTGGGGTCAACCCCAGGTGTGAAAAGATGTCCTTTTTTTCTAGCGTGGCCGGGCCTCACGGTGGGGGACGGTGCGAGCGCTACTACCAAGATGCCCCAAAATTGACGTGCCTGTTGGCAGGGACAAACCTGTGTGGCCACACTCGAGGCAAGGGCAAGAGCAACAGGTCTACAGTGGACAGAGATTGACACGGTAAAACGAACCGGGTTCCGGGAAAGCCAAGGGTAAAGGCATAGCGGTTCCAGGATTCCTGGAAACCAGACCGTTTTTACCGTGTAAAGAGCGCCAGGCTGGATGGTCATCGGGAATGCTATCATACGCTTGGACTAACTGGGGCAATGTGGAGATCCATTTTGATCCCGGGATCTTAAGGCGACTCTAAAAACGGGATCACGAATCTCGGGACATAGAACCCGTCTTTATCGCCCCTTCAGCGCCTGTGAGGTAGGCCATCGTCCCCTGCCGCAACACACCGCTGTGGAGACGGTGGCCTACCTTGCCCCTGTCATCTTCACAGGCGCAACGTAGGCCACCGTCTCCACAGCGGTGTGTTGCAGGCTGGCCCCGTTTGCCTACCTCACAGGCGCTAAGGCCCGTCATAGAGCGTACAGCTAGCTGTCAAACCCGGACGATGAAACAGCGTTTGTGAGGCCACAGCAGCAGTGTGGCCACACACGAGGCGTCAAAATTTTGCCCACCGAATAAGACGCCAGCAACAGCAAATTAAGGTCCGTGGATATTTTCTCCTCGTGGAAACGAACTGTTGTTAGTCGCTGTCTTTGTGCGTGAACTTCTCCGTACGGATCGGATGGAGAGATGAGATGGGCTGGTCGAGAAGCGCCGCGGCCGCGAGTGACATTTCCCCCGGAATGCGTGGATAGGCAAGCCCGTAACACTGCGGCGTCGTGCGGCGCGACGATTGCATACCCGGCAGGCGCCTCCGCTGCGGCGGTGGCAGAGCAGCCCGGCGCTGGAGGCGCTGGAGGCGCGCGCGGGCCTTGAAGAAACACATTGGAAGCTCCTTGACCCGTGTGTAACTGTCGCACGGCGTGTGGCAGCGCAGTGTGTGTAGCGGGTGTGGTGACACCCCCCCCCCCCCCCCCCCCCGGTCCCTGCTCTTTCTCCGTTCCTCCTCCCTCTCTCTCCCCGAGCACCTAGGAGGTTGAACAGGCATTGAGCCGTTTGCGAAGACAAACAAATGGAACCCGGTTAAAACTCCAGTAGCGAAGATGGGCCGGGGCGTTTTGTGGCGGCAAGGAAACGGCAGGGGGAGGGGAGGGGAGGGGAGGGGAGGGGAGGGGATGGTCGTGCTTTCCCTATATGAAGGTGCGCGAAGAGGCAGGTGTCAGTCTGCCCGCAGCAGAGCCCCAGCGCACACCCAAGCATGGCGGTCACAGCGGTGATGGTAAGCTAGGAGCAGGCACGGCCAGTGGCCCGTCTGCGGCAGCCAAACCGAGAAGGACCTGCGGGAGCCAAAACATGTCGATAGTTGGCCACTTTCTGTTCCCAGGCGCCCCTCGCGGCTGTGCTTTTGCTCTGCGGAACTACCTTCGTCCGTGCAGAGGTGGACTCCGGGTACGTACGTTAGCTCAATCCTCCAAAGTTGACCGGAATGAGTTGTACAGTTTCGAGTGTTTGTACTCAAAATGCGTTCGAATCTTCGCAGGTACGAGTACCCCGTGCCTCAGCAAGTATTCCTTACTGGGTAAGTGAAACAAGACTATGATGCATTGGTTGGGCCTGGCTAACTCCTAATCCACCGGTTGGATACGACAGCCCGTCAGCTCCCAGCAGGCTCCCGCAACCGGCCGTCCCCATCCGACAGGCAACGCAACCGGCACCGCCGCCCCCGCCCGCCCCCACGGCTGAGGTCATCACCACCACCGGGCTGGACACCTCGACCGTGGACGTGACCACCACGACGCTGCAGGACACCACGACCCTGCAGGACGAGTAAGTTCCCAAAGCAAAGAGCAAGTGACTCCGTCCGCAAGACGAATTGTCCGCGCAACGCCGCAACGGTAGCCGCGGCGGTCGCGCGCGCGCCGCAAGCGGAGGCGCGGGGCCCTCGGCCTTCGGGTCAGAGTTGCTGGTCTTTTTTCACCTGTCACGTTCCTGTTTCGGAGCAGAAGGCACGCGGCACTCTTTTGTCATGGATGGGGACCGCCGCTGCGTCCGCTGTGCAGTGCGCGGTGTGGCGGTGTGCAACGCGACGCTCACACGGCCAGTCCCTGTTGCAGGAGGCCGCCGCAGCCCACCGCCCCCGCGGCGCCGTACCTGCCCCCCGAGACCACCGAGCTGGCGGACTTCCGTCGTCCCGTCCCCCAGTCCGACGCCGACCTCGGGCCCCGCGCCCGGGCTGGTGCTCGTCGCCGCCGACCCCACGCCGTCGCCCACGCCCTCGCCCACGCCCAACGGCCCCTCCGGCGCCGTGGTCCTGCCCGCCGCGCTGCCCGCACCCTCGGGACCGTCACCCGCACAGCTGCAGCTGTGGCGCCAGCAGCTCGACAACCAGCGCCAGCAGGAACTTCAGCGCCAGCTAGAAGCCCAGCGCCAGCAAGACCTCCAGCGCCAGCTGGAAGCCCAGCGCCAGCAGGACTTCCAGCGCCAGCTGGAAGCCCAGCGCCAGCAGGACCTTCAGCGACAACTGGAGCTTCAGCGGCAGCAGGAGCTGCAGAGGCAACTTTTCCGCCAACAGGAACTGCAGCGCCAGCAGGACCTGCAGCGCCAGCAGGACATCCTCCGCCAGCAGCAACTGCAGCAAGAGCAGCGGCTGAAGCAGCAGCACCAGCAGCTTCTCATCGCGGCGCAGCAGCAACAGCAGCAGCTGTCGGCGCAGCAGGCACGACTGGCGCAAGACCAGGCGCTGCTGGAGCGGCAGCGGCAGCTGCTGTTGCAGAAGCAGGCACAGCTGGAGGAGCAGTGCCGGCAGCAAGGGCTGCAGCTTCAAGCGCAGCCCCAACCACAGCCCCAGCCGCAGCCCCAACCCCAACCCCAGCCCCAGTTCCAACCGTCGTACACCTACCGCGCCCCCGCCGCCGCGGCCCCTGCCTTCGTCCAGGCGCCCCCGCAGCAGCACCAGCCGCAGTTTGACTATAACTGGCTGGCGCCCGCCCCCGCGCCCGCCCCCGCTGCGCCCAGCGGCCCCGGAGTCCTGTCCTTCGTCGTGCAGCCCGCGGGCCCCGCGCCCGCCCCCGCGGCGCCGCAGTGGACCCAGCCCGGACGCGTGGTGAGCGACGACGCCGTGGTGGTGGACAACCCCACCATCGTGGCGCTGCCCGCAGCCCCGTCCGCACCAGCCTCTCTGCCCGGCGCCCCCTACCCGGCGAGGTCCTTCCGGCCCAGGGTGCCCTTCAGGACGTGAGCAAGGGAATCACGCGTCTCTGAGGCCCGCGGCTTGTTCGCAATCAAAGAGGAACAGGTCCAACGACCGGCCCGTTTTCACTTTTTTCAAAAAAAAGGAAACATTCCGTACAAGAGTTTGTGATCAAAATCAGTGAGCTGCAACACTGCAATAACTGAATTGATAGCCCGAAGTCTCTTGTCGGTCTTGTGCTTAAGGTTGTTCTGCGCTCTCTCGCTCTGCCCCGCTGCGCCACTTGCCGCTGTACCTGCCGTAGCTCCCGCACCCCTTCAACTGGGGCCGGAGGGGGCTAGATGGAATGAGTAATTTGAATTTGCCAAAAAAAATGTTGCCAGATATTTCTACTTGGTGGTTGGATGAATCAGTGCGGGCGTGTGCCCCTGGTGTTGCCGAAAAGGAACCAAAGTACTATCTTTTTGTCAAACGCATTAAACAAAGAGGACACCGCAATATTTTTTGTCTCATTGTTTACCTTTAAGGACCCTCAAAGCCCTCTCTGAAAGAAATTGTGGTGGAAAGGCAGAGGTGCCCGCCAGCCCGCTCACCACACCAGACGCAAGGTTCGCTTCGGCCCGCCTGCCGCCTTCACGGCTCCTCCGGAAATCGCTGTTTGAACACCGAGGCTGCGACCTTGCCGGCCTCGCCCAGCGCGCCGAGCTTTTTGTAACCCAAATCAGTGACACCGTGCCGTGGCGGGCCGTGCCGGGCCAGCCCAGTCGGGCGACGGCCCTACCCTCTGTCTCAGTACTTTCACGGCGGCAAATGGCCTCCTTTGACGCGCTCCTGTTACCTGTGACACCTCGCGTTCGCCGGCCTGGAAGCGATGCACGAACCAGCCCAGCAGCAGGCCGCAGCAGTAGCTGCTCGCCCTCATGTGCGTCTTGATGATGGCCGTCTGATACATGGCGTTGCCGGAGAGGTCACCCTGCCAGATCTCCCTGCAGGGAAAGAACAGACTTAGCAAGGTGGTCGAGGTGGAGGTGATGGGCGTGCTTCTCCACGTTTCTCCACGGGCACACAAGGAGCGAGCACACACACACACGCACACGCACACACGCACACACGCAACACGCGGCCGAAGAGGCAGGGTGGCGCGCGTGCCGAGTCAACAACCTAGCCGCGAGATGACGAAGTATATACACATCTACACACGCACCACTCCCTCCTTACTTGGGAAAAATGAGGAGAACGGGGTCCAGCTTCCTGGCCCAGGTGACGGCGAAGGGGATGAGGATGGACATGGCGGTGGCGGTGGCGGCGATCAGGCGGCCCATGGTCGGCCACCGCCACAGCGGGTACACCACTAGCGGCGCCAGCATGAAGAGCTGCGTGTCGGAGCTGATGTACCAGGACTGGAACATGCACTGTAAGGGGCGCCGCACCGCCGCGGTTAGACAACGCACAGCCCGCGCCGCGCGGCAGGCAACCCATTCGACACGACTCGGCGCGTCACTACCCCACGCGCCGGGCGCCAGGCGGCTCTGAGGCGCGGGGTAGCTACGGGGCCGCACTCACCAGCTTGTCAGTGTTGACGTAGTTATTGATGTAGAGCATGTTGGCCCACCACGACGCGCGGCATCGGTCCTGCTCGAGGAGTATCCTGGAGGGCCAGAGCGGCCCCGCGCCGAGCCTGGGCAGTAGCGTGGCATAGAGGGCCACCACGGCCAGGTAGGACGGCGTCAGTCTGAGGGAACCAGTCACGTTTCTTTCGGAATTCTCTTCAACAAAGCACTCGCGCTGCAGCTCTTTCACTGACCTTATGTATCTAAATATGTACAGCAGTCCAAAGTTGACGGAGCGCCGCTTGTCCAGCTCGAGGAGCAGAAGTCTGGTGAGGAGGAAGCCGCTGACCACGAGGAAGGAGTCGACGAGGAGCATGCCGTTGAGCAGGTAGCTGTGCTGCGGCTGCCGCACCGCCTGTGGCACCACGTGGCACGGGGAATGTCAGGACCGGGCATACCCCGCGACGGGCCGCGTCGCTACCCCGCGCCATACCTGCTCCACATAGTCGACGTTGGCAACGGCGCCCGTGGCGAGGAACACGACGCCGTGGCCCGCCGTGATGAGCAGCATGCAGTAGAACTTGATGCCCAGCACGCAGTCCAGCCCCAGGTCCGACGGCGTCCAGCGCACCAGCTTCTCCAAGTTGCTGCGCATCGAGAAGGACACCAAGACCTGCGGCAGAATGGCTGCGCGGGCGTCAGCAGGGGGTATCGACCTCCACGGCGGCGACGGCGGCGATACCCCGCGCTCGTTTACCTTTCGTGTCGAGATCGGACTCCGGCGACAGGAACACGTCGTACACCGTGGCGATGACCAGCAGCGACAGGAAGCCGATGAACACGCCTCTGGTGACAGAGATGGTGGGTCAGTGGAGGACGCCGTCAATGCGGTCGATGCCCCCAGCCCAAACAACCAGTGACGCTTACATGACCACCAGCTCCGGGCCCTGGAAGGGCTTGACGGCATTGTCCTGGCAGGATCGCTCCGGGATGCTGACGTCTAACACGACGCCGGCGTTGGCGCGGTCCAGGTGGATGGCGGCGGCCAGTAGCGTGCGGGCGTCCTGCGGGGAGCACGCCGCCGGCAGGCAAGCACCCCAGCGCACCCACTGCGACGCCGAGGCCGGCGTCCAGAAGCGCCCGCCAACCTGTCGAGAGGCGAAATCGGTTTTGCATTGGGAAAGCACCTTGGGCGACAGCGGCAGAAGTACGCTAGTACGCACTGCCTCAATAGTAGGCCCGAGTAGGCCAGGCCTTCCATTTATGATTGTCATGTTGCCCCTCCCGGCCCACAGTGGGCCAGAAGACCGGCGGAGGCGGACAAAACTCTAGACGCGTTAGGAGCTCCAGAGTCGCTAAACAGGCCTCGAACCGAACGAGTGACCCCACTAATGGATTCCTCGTTCAGAGAGCAATCTATTGGTGGGGTCACACGTTCGGTTCGAGTCCCATTCAGCTACTCTGGAGCTCAAAACGCCACTAGAGTTTTGTCCGCCGCCACCGGTCTTCTGGCCCACTGTGCGGCCCTGGTCCCGGAGCGCGTTGCGACGGTGCGACGCCCAAGCAGCTGAAGGTCGATTTTTTCATCGCGGCTGAGGGGCGCTTGGGCGCACACACGCCGCGACAGTGCTACAGCCTCAGCCTCCGCCTCTGTGCTGCGGTGGTAGTAGGTCGAAACGGGGCTATGCGAGGAGTGGCTGGCGGCGCACGCGCACGCACGCGTCGAGCAGGCCGAGGCCGTGCGGTGCGGGCTGTCCTGCCTCAGCCTGCCGCCGCTCCAGGCGCCCCGGTTCACCAGTACCAAATGAATTGCAGTCAGTATCTTTCTCTAAACACACTGCTGGACTCGGACCGCGTAGAGCCGCGGGCAGCCTGGGGCGATGCCCACCTCAGCTAGCTTGCAGAGCGACACGCCCGCGTCGTAGGCAACCCGTGAAACGCCGCTGCATCGTGGACCATTTTTGCCTACCCATCCTGCTGATTTTGCTTGTTAGACCTCAAATGATCGTGCGCCTATTCAGACTTGCAACACGCATCACTGCCCGAGGGGCCATGGCGGGGCAGTCCCACATACAGCACCGCCGCGTCCGCGGGACCCGAGACCCGGACCTGGGAAACGCGCTCCGCCCTGTAGGCTCTGTCGGTGTGGTAGCCGTCTAGCAAGCCACTTGGCGGTTTTGGCGGGCTCTGCTTGGAACGCTTGGAGCGCCTGGGGCCTAGCCGACCGTCATCGCCGCACTCCAGCGTCACGGCCTCGGCGGCGGTGGCTGGCGGCGAGGGGCGGGGCGGGGCGAGGCGAGCGCGTCTGTCAGTCTGTCAAGGCGTCGCGCGGATGTCATCCCGCGTGCCGTGCCGTGCCGTGCCGTGCCGTGCCGTGCCGTGCCATCCATCGGCCAGGGGCAGGCAGGGCAGCGCAGGCCAGTCACCAGGCCGGCGCGCGAACTGCTGCTGTCGCACACACGTGACTGCTGGTCGCATTGCACGCTTCAAAAAGAAAAGAGCGAAGCTGCGTTCTGAGGCGCGTCCTTTTTGAATCACCGCGTCATTTGAATACGAGCTGCAACAAAATCGCCTGGGGCGGCCGGATGAACCTATTCCTCGCAATGATTCTCCGCGGGGGTGCGACAAGCCGTGGCCTGGCGTGGCGCGGCGTGGCGTGGCGCGGTGCCAACACGGCGTGAAACGCACGGCAGCAAAGGGTGGGTGTTGTGCTCGTTACGTGTGTGGTGTGTTGCCGGCGGTCACCCCGCGTTTGCCACTGTGCTGCCCTTCCCCGCAACGACGCCTCGCCGCCCTGCAGCCCTGCACGCCAGGCTTCACTTTAGTGGTCACGGCATGCGTCTCGCATGTACAGATTCTCTCGCTCCCTGCGGCCGGACGGGGTATGCACCTGGAACAAGTGGTGAAGCATGATTCCAGAACCGTCGCGTTCAAGCGCAGCTCGTTTATCGCCCTGCCGAAAGCAATCGCAACAAGTTCCTCTCGGGTTGGCAGTGCTGCAGGTTTATCGCTGTGTTGGTCGGCTCCATTCCGGTCCGCCCTGCAGGTCGTCCAGGACGTCTGCATTGGTCTGCATGCAGTGCGGAAGCAGGCCGACCCACCGGCCCCGCCTGCCTGGCCCCGCCTGCCTGGCCCCGCGGGCCCTTCCCCTCACCTTGTTCCTGAGCGGCCAGAGGGGCTGGAAGGCGTCGGCCTTGACGTCGTCTGAGGTCAGCAGCCGGCCCGATGTCGGCGCAGCCTGGGGCCGAGCCGGCCGCGCCGAGGTGGCGTTGTCCGTGCCGGAGCTGCTGGAGCTGCTGGAGGAGGGCGTCTCGACGCTCAGGCGCACCTCGGCCAGGCAGTACTGCGGAGGGACGGGCGCCGCCGCCATCCGCAGGCACTCGTCGAAGCTGCCCAGCTGGTACTGGCTGCCGCGAAGCAGGTCTTGTCCGGACTTGGCCATCGCGTCCACCACTGCAAAGCAATTTGGGCGATGGTTGTTGACTAAGCTAGGCAGACCGGCCCGCGCCCCCGCATCCCTGCGCCCCCACGCCCCGCCGGCGCGTTCAGGTTCCCGCGCGGCGCAGACCGGCACGGACTGCATCAGTCACCGCACATCTGACGCTTCAACCACACGCACCATTTCATGCAACACCTTTTATTTTTTCGTTTTTAGTTGACACCACAAAGGCATCTCGGCCTCATACTAGTGCTCGGCGACGTGCGGCGCGTCGGCTTGGAGGCCGTGCGTCGGCCGCGGCCCGACAACCGCAGACCGGAGAGACCGGGGCGCGGTGCGGCGCGCGGGGCGGGGCGGAGCGGGGGGCGAGGAACGGTGAGGCGCAGGGAGGCCAGGATGCAAAATTGTCTCCACAATTATGAGGCCGAAACCGGCACCGCACCGTCGCCGAGCCTACGGGCCGACGGGCGCGCGGCGAGCGCAAGGAAAGCAATCAGCAGTTTTGTTTTGGCGCGGCGGCCGTTGGCGGCCGTTGGCGGCCGTTGGCGGCGCGGCAGCTAGCCTTGTACTCACTGCGACTGGCCCAGGCATTGCCGGCCTGTTCGGCCTGGTCGGCCGCCAGGTAGGCGTCGAGGAGCTGCTTGGTGTGGTTGCGACACAGGCTCCCCTGCAGGTGCTCCACCGCGGCGAGCATCTTGGACGGCTCCAGCCGGATCCAGGACAGGGCGGTCGTCGCCAGGGTCGCGGCGTCCTCCACCGCGGCCAGCCCCGGCCCCGGCCCTGCGGCCAGGACCAGCAGCAGCAGGGAGGCGAGGGCAGGCATTCTTGGAGCCATGGTTGGCGTCCACCGGGCCTCGTGGCCTCGGGTCACGTCCTGGCCATCCTCACGGCCTCCGAGGCCTCCGAGGCCGGGTAGAGGCGCTGTCAGCACTGCACTGTCACACGCGGCGCCACCGCAGCTCGCCTTGGACTTCCCTCACGTCGCAGCGCGCGCACCGCGTGCACCGCGTGCACCGCACACCCACGCCGACGGCGGAGCGTAGCTCAACGGAGCGTAGCGTTCGTCTCGGCTGGTCTCGGCGCGGCGTGCGTGCGGACGGTGCGGACTCGGGGCCGAGCGTTGGGCCGGGCGAGGGGCCCTGCTGGAGCGGCACCGGAGAACTGAACGCAGCGCGCGGCGCGCTCGGCGGCTTGGCGGTGCGCTTGGCGGCGCGCTACGCCCCTGCCCGCCCCCCGCGCCGCGACGGCGACCACGGCGTCGGCCGCGCCGACGTGACTCAATCCGCCGGGGAGGGGGTCAACAAGTCGTCTACCGAGCGTGCCATGCCAAGCACCGCGCACGGTGACTGACGGGGGTTCAACTCCCCAACATTTATCATTTTCATTTCACTACCTCACCCAGTGTGGTTCAAACCCGTGACATCAGTCGACCTGTAACGTGTGCCGTGGTGGCTCCAAATTGTAGATGCGTCGGTACGACACGTTGCCGCCGTGGTCGGCGGATCGACTCCAGTAACTTCATCACAGTTTTGGACCGGCCCGCTAATTGCGGTTCAATCCTGTCGCGTCAACAACCCGCCTCACTCCCCAGTTTGACCGACAGCGGCAGCTCGCCGCGGCACCCGTATAAGCCACGCGGTGTCGCGATCGGCGCGCGCCAAAGGCGGCCCAAGGCGTGCGCCGCCTGCATGGCCTGCATGCCGCGGCACGGCGGTGATGAGTGGCGGCTTGCATAAGGGGGTTAATGGCCGGCCTGCGGCCCCACGCGAGCCACTTGTCGTCGACACCAGTAGACGCAGTTTAGATTTTCGCGCGCCGCCCGAACGGACCGCGCCCCGCGCCCCTTGCAGCAGCGAGAACTCGTGCGACAAGCGTCGCAAACTTTGTAGTCTCATTTAGTCTCATTTCTGTCCTTCTTGCTGATCCTGGATACTTTCCCTCACGGTCGGCCACATGGTGACGGTGCGTGCGGTGCGTGGTGATAGAGAATAACAACAACAACAACAACAACAACAACAACAACAACAACAACAACAACAACAACAACAACAACAACAACAAACGCAACGAAACTGCAAAGAACTACTTGGAACGGGGCCTGGTGTGCAGCGCACCGGGCGCACGGCCTCGAAAAGGTGCGACATGCAAAATACTGAGAACAAAACGCGCGCCAAAGGGATTCGCTTTGACGGAGCCAAATCGGAGCCAAACCAGAGGGCCGACATAGGCCCAGGGCCGCCCACGGCCAAGCCTCTCAGCCCACACGCAGAGAAATGCTTAGCGCTAGCTGCTAATTCTTAACTGCCCTTGCTAATAATCTTAGCTGTATATGGACAGCTAATACCTTAGCACCAGTTGCTAATATTCTTAGCAGGCACATATTAGCTAGGTAGCTAAGGCCTTAGCAAGCAAAACTAAGTCAGAAAATTTTCGGTATTCGAACCTCAGACTTTTACTTGCCGACTTGTTACCTTTCCCCTTCGGCTACTGCCGTTCCTTCTGCGGAGAGAAGTTAGGGAGGACTCATATCCTACGCTGGGGTCGAATGATCAGTCAATAGGAGCTTAGCGCCAGCAGCTAATTTATTAGCACCACCGCTAAACCTCTGTGCTAAGATTTTTGTCAAGTCTTGCTAAGTTGTGTTAGCTTCCGCTGCTAAGTCTGCACAATGTAGCTAAGGATATTAGTTCTTGTGCTAAGTCTCTCTTGCTAAGGTACATTAGCAGGTCAGCTAAGTTATTTTTCTGCGTGCAGGGCCCGGCGAACAGGTATGAAGGTCAGCGCGTCGGGCGCGATAGGCACGATGGGCGAGTTGGGAGAGGTGGGTGAGGTGAGCGAGGTGGGTGAGGTGGGCGAGGTGGGTGAGGAGGGCGAGGTGGGTGAGGTTGGCGAGGTGGGTGAGGTGGGCGAGGTGGGTGAGAGGGCGAGGTGGGTGGGGAGGGCGAGGTGGGTGAGGTGGGGTGGGTGAGGTGGGCAAGGTGGGCGAGGTGGGCGAGGTGGGCGAGGTGGGCGAGGTGGGCGAGGTGGGCGAGATGGGCCCGATGGCACGGCCCGATGTGCATGAGCCGCGTGTGCGGCAAGGCCCTACCTACAGACGGACGCACAGACGCGGGAGGGCGGGGCGCGGTGGGGCGCGGTGGGGCGGGGCTGGCGGGATCGTGGCCTTGAAGGACGGCTCGCCAGGCGGGGGAAAGGAGGTGAGGGGGGCAGCGACCGCTGAACCGATACATCTCGATGCCGGGAGAAACATGCCGAAGCTGTCTCTTTCGCTCTCTCTCCCACTCGAGCATTATGTGGGGAATTAGGTTGCTCGCCCGACATAAGGCTAAATGCATGCTCAGAGGATTTGAGCCATTAGGCTTTTAGGGTATAAACTATGAACGAAAGAGTGGCCTGGGACTGGTCCCACGGCATTTAGCGAGTTTATGGAAGTGCCAGCAGCGCTCTGCCCTAACCTAACCTGAAACTTGCCGCCGGGCGCCTTTCCGTGGCGGAAGACACGTGACGCGGGACAACCTGCAAAACTGCCTCCGTCTCGCTCGCGCAGCAAGGAGCAGCTGCTGTGTAGCGGCGTAGCCTGGCGTAGCCTCTCCGTCATGCGAACACTGTGTCCAGACGGGCGTGGCGGCGTGGCGGGCCGCGCTGGCCGCCATCACGCTGACCGGGAAGGTCGTGCAAGTCCAGCCGCAAGGTGCAGCTCGTCTTTTTTACCGTCTTTCTTTCCTGTCCCTCGCTCCATCTTCCAGGCGAGACGGGTGAAATACCGCGCCCTTCCGATGTGCACTCCACTTGAAGTCAACCCACTGTATGATCTAGGAAAGGCTGTCACGCGGTGCGACGCACGAATGCGACAAGCCGCGAAAAGTGTGGTGAGGAAAGCCCCAGGGAGACGCAGGAGGGCCAAGGCGAACTGTTGGGTGTTTGGAGGCCAAGCAAGAGCCGAACGGTGGTCAGGGCGAGCGCTTGTTAAAAACAAGCTCCGCGATTCTCTTTGCGACGATGCCGGACGGACGATGCCGTCGCCGGGCGTGCACAGGGCGTGCACAGGGCGTGCAATCAGACGCAGTCAGGCATACCGCGCACCGCCCTCGCTCGCACGCAACAGGGATAGTGCCGACGCTTCTCAGAAACCATGAAGCGCTTTCGCCCCGCTCCTTAGCTGCGATGAATATTTTGTAATTTGCTGGGTTTTCGTCGCTCCATCGAAAGGACCAAGAGGGCAGGCGGGACTTTTTACGAGGCCTGAACCTGTTTAGTTGACAGCTGCCTCGTGCGCGCGCTGCACAAAAAAAAACAAATAAATAAACTTGGCCCTGGAAAACGATCTATGCACCGCCCTCGCCCCTTTTTCGAAGCCCCGAAAACGGTTTCCACTTTTGACTGGAATATGCTCGGAGTGCGCATCCCAGCGCGTTGTCCGGCGTCGCCGCGTTCTGCTGAAGCAGCCGTCGCGCTATCGCCCAATTAATTTCCCTGTATCAGTCGACAGCCCTGCGGACAGCCCTGCGGGCATCAGCAGACTTGCCCCATTTGACGAGCGGCGTTTGACCGTAATTCAGTGGCCGCTCATTGGCTTATCGCGACCTACATGGCGCGCTGTGTGTGTGTGTGTGCGTGTGTTCGTGTGTGCGTGCGTGAAGGGATGAAAGGGACGGGGAGGTGCGCTGCCGCGGGCGCCGTGCTCGGCGTGGCTCGGCGTGGCTCGGCGTGCGCGCGGTGCGTGTGTCGGGATGTGTTTAGCGAGTTTCAGATTCCGCCCACCTCACTGCCCCTCAAATGGGCAGGACATGAAATACGGTCGGGGCGAGGGGTGCAGGTGGAAGGGTGGAGGGAGGCCTGCTTTGGGGTGGCCGTTCTCGAACCCTGCCCTGCGGAGCCCCGCCCGCACCGAGGGTCTCGCCGAGGGGCCCAGCTGGGGCAGCGGTCTGGCAATAAGAAACTTTGATGGCGGTACAGTGTCCAGCGCCGCCGAGCGCCGCCGCCGCCGGGCCGGGAGCGCCAGACCCAGCAGGCCAGCAGGCGGCCCTTCCCCGGCCTGCTTTAGCCCTTTGACACCCCCAGGCTCGCCCCCAGGCCCCAAAGGACCTTGGGTCTGGGGTGCGGGGTGGCACTAACCTTCTTAGGCGGTCCAGTGGCACCAGCCTCTGGCACCGGGCGTGACTGGGCCATGTGCAGGGACTAGCGCCCCTGCCGCTACCTGGCCGCCCGGGCCGCCTCGCTGGCAGCCCAGCATCACCCCGCTCCTTTGACTAGCCAGCGTCGTAACAGGTTGCGGCCCGAAACAGCCCGCCGGGCCGGACCGCGCAGTGGACCGCGCCCCGCGCCCCATGTGTCCCCATGGCGTCCCCTCGGCGCCGCGCGCTCCCCAGCCTCGCCTCGCCAAGCCTGGCCAAGCCCCGCAGAGGAAGCGCCTTGCTTTTCGACTGTTTGCCGAAAGCCACGTAAATTATACGTTTATCTCGACGTCTCGCGGCGCCGAACAACAATGCGGGCAAAATAGAAAAAGGACCGCCAGACGCGAAGCTCCTTCTTTCGCCTTCCTTCTACTCGTGTTCCGCGCACATTTAAATCACTTCGCCATTCTTACCGAATTTCACGCGGCGGTTCGTTCCGCGCCTCGGCAACGCATCGGGGGCGGAAAGACACGACTGGAAGGAGCAGAAAAAAGGGGGGGGGGAGTGCGTCTGGAGCCGAGGAGAAACTCCGAGGAAATGCTGTATTGTGGGTGCAAGGCAGTGTGTTCTTCAATGCACAGAAATTCAAATTCGGTTCTTCGGGTTTCTTCACACACTAGCGCCGTGTTTGCATTAAATGCCGCGGCAGTACACTGATTTCTCTCGTTTTGTTTTGCCGCGGACGTGGTGAATGTGAATGGAATGTGAGGTGGTGGCCGCGGGGGTGCACGGGCACGGCCGTGCACGGCTGGACGAACGCGAACGATAACCAGAAAGTTGCTTAAAAGGGCGAGGTCGCCCGCGCGACAGGGATGGTTTAGATGCATGGCGCGGCCTGGCGTCGCATAAAATATGGCCGGTCCGCGGGGCGCGGCGCGGGGCGGCATGTGTCGGGCCGAGGGCGGGCCT